CCCGCAAATACCGCGGATCCCGCGCCCGTAATCCCAAATACGCGGGATTGTTAAAAGACGCGGGATCCCGCAATACCGAGATCTCGGTATTCCGGGATTGGAAGCCATAGGAAGGAGATAGGTAGACAAACTTTTGTTAATCAATATTTTAAACCTTGAAATATTGTTTATTCCTTCGAATTATATTTATTCGAAGTTAAGGATATACTCGTATATTGATATAAAGTTACAAGAATGATGAACGATCTTTCACTTCAAATTAAAAATATTAATATCTAGTACATTACATTTGGGGGCGTCCATAAATTACGTGAGGTGTTTTCTCAAATTTTCTGACCCTCCCTCCCCCCTGGTGAGATATCGTGAGATTTTATTCAATCCCCTCCCCCATCCCCAAATCTCACGTGAGATTTTTCAAAATGTGGGTTTCTTATTTAAACACGTTGGATTTTTTTAATAAAAAGAAAAAAAAAATCGCTTCATACTTTTATTTACGACTAGTTAGAGACTAGTAAGTAATCAATATTGCTGAGAGCTACAAGTGTAATAAAGATTAAACAATAGAATACTTAATTCGTAACTACTGCGATTAAAAAAGGAATATATACTCTAATTCAGTCCATGGAGAATCATGCACTGTCTCGAGAGAGACTATTGGAACCAGTATGTCCATATGATTTTCAGTAAAATCATCTGCCCTGAAAAATCACGCCTGTGCTCTGAAAACAGTAAAAGAAATGACCGCGCTAATATTTTGTAGATATGATTTTATCACATTTTATCAAGAATTTCACTGTTTCAGTTTTTTTTATGCTATTAATTGTAATAATAAAGTTTATATAAAAGAAGTATTTTCTTAGAAAAATATATTTAACCTAGCTTTTGAAGAAATGCTAAAGTAGACCGAACTTTTCTCTCAGTAGCTTCCCTGAGAAGCCGTTCAATCTCATGTTGAATGTGATGTATTAAATCTTCTTTCTTCGGGAATTTTTCCTTCGCTGTATTCCATAATTTTATCACATCGTTCTGACAGGACTTCTTCGTCTTATAGACGTATCTTTTGATGTATGCCTTATAAAAATCTTGATAACTCATTTTAACTTAATAAGAGCATGCACTGAGTCGAGTAAAACATTTGCAAGAATAAACAAAGCAGGTTGGAACCTGTCCGTGTGTCGCTGCACTCAGCTCGTACGCTCTCATTCATCGAGTCACACGTCCAGCTGACAGTGGCGCGAAAACAAAGGACGGGCTACATTGTACCGTAAATTCAAATTAAATTGAGCTATTTGGTATAAAACGAGTATAGTGGTTTGACAATCAGGAGTGATGTATAATGTCAAAGTACGAATGAAATTATTAGTGAATGATCTTAACCTTAGACTAGTCACTCTATGAGGGATTCCCCGCACCGAGCCTTATTTTAAAAATTGCGTGATATTTGCCGAGACCCCCCTCTCTCCAACGTGAGATTAGATGAGATTTGACTCGACTCCCTCCCCCCCTTAAACATCTCACGTAATTTATGGACGCCCCCTTTCCTAACACTCACTGTAAAATAGTCGAGGATGTGTTTTTAAAACTTATTTTTGGCTCGGAACTGTTGATTGGAATAATTTAAAATAACGCGTGACATTGTTGCGTAAGTAATCTATTATATAGCACACACTGTTCTTCGTAAACTTGCGTCAGTAGGTAATCAGCAGGTGTGGTGGTGTCGTTTCTACTGATTTTTTTTAATACGTTGCTAGTACTTTTATATTTTTTCTGAATTTGCTTTGTCATTTTTTAAGTCGTACTCTGATCAGCCCGCTTTGCATGATGAACTATAGAAAAATTCTTTCTACATCCACCTGTCATTTTTATACTATATTTTATTTATACACTGTCACTGAAATACTCAAACTGGCAAAAGATGCAATATTGATTAAATAGAATAAGGTCTTATATTATTATATTATATTATTATAGGAATTGTATTTACAAGTACTGTTTTTTACTTAACTCCTTTTTTATATATAAAGTTTTCATTTAGGCTATCAAAATATCCACAGTAGTGCAATTAAATATCAGTAATTATTTGAAATTAGTCTGAAAATACCCATCATTAACAATTCAAATGGAAACGGTAATCAAATGATCTAATTTTATTTTTTATTTCTTTCCAGCCAGCGAACCGTGAGAAGATGGTTTCCAGATCCGCATTCGCCTTGGCTGCAATAGGTCTGGGCCTATCTACTTTCAGCGTGCGTCAGATGGTTCTTCACCAATCCAGGCGAATCTAAATGTAACTGGAATGGTCAAGTTCCAAAGTGGGGATAAGATGAAATAAACTATACAGATCTTACCACCGTTTAATGTATCAAAACATTTTCCACTATGTGGAGTGCGAAAATGGCAACCATTTTAATTTTTGATGTTTGATGCTATTTATTGTTTGTCTATGGAATGAGATGATGATAAAATTAACTGTTTAAAAATAGAATAATAGGTATTATGCGTGAAAAAAATGTGGTATTATTTTAAACTTTTTTTTGTGAGAGAATGTGTAGTGAATTTATCCACCTTTTACCTAGTATGATGAAATTGCTTTAGGGATAAGTTTAAGTTGTTTATGGTTGATTCTCTTAGAAAATAAAATCATGAAACTAAGTGCGTACGATTCGCTTAAACGTCTGTATTGTGATGGAAACCAAATAAAAATTGCAACAAAATTATATTTGAATTTATTCCGAAACCCATTTTTTAAAGAAATACATAAACCTACATACACTTAAAGAACCTTATGGTTTGATAAATAACGTAAGTTTTCAGGTTAAAAACAACCTATCTCACTCTCAAGTTCGAGTGAAAACTAGTCATTCATCTATGACAACAACAGCAAGGGGGTTACACATAAACAGCTAGTTAAGTAATAAAACCATTTCAATCGTTCAAAGTAATTTATTTTAACGTTCCACTACTTTTAAACAAAACAGATAAAAACATCTGAAACTGGTGTACTTTCTTCAAAATGTTTATATTTACCATACATATGAATAAAAAAAACGTCTGAAATTATTTAAATGCCACTTTAATACCTTGATTGGTTGACCTCGAAACAGAAATTGATCAAAGTAAAATAACTGATCCAGTTTCAAATGCAAACAAAACAAAAATACGCTTTACTTCAACAATTGAAAACCAATAGTTAGATTTCCTACATAATTCCTGCCGACAGTTTTTAAGTAAATTTCCGCATTCGATTTAGAACTAAATATGCGAAAGATAGATTTTTACCTAATTGATTACAGTATTAACATATCTTCACCCCTGGCAAAAAACGGGATATCTACCTATATAGTGTCATTGTGCCGTTTACTTATCCTACTTAAATTTTACACGCGATTTGTCACTGAATAAGCTTCTTTCATTTCAAGTCCCACGTTAGGCGCCAGTGGTGGATTAACTACAAACTAAGTTTATACACCACTGGCGCCCAACGTGGGGCTACTACTGATTTGCTTATTTGCTTGGTAGTGGTAAGGCTCTTTACTCACGTTATTATGATCCTTAAACCATTAGACAACTTCATTTTTTAATTTAAACCCTCTTACTACTACTGATTGATCTAACCCCCATCCTAAGTTAATAAGATAATTTGTTTTTGCAAAACTATACTGGTGGATTAAAACTTTTGCCACTTATTTTTCATTGATTCTTTTCTTCATGTTTTCTTGTGTATTGCTAAATAAATTGTTGGTTAATAAAAAAGGCATTACTAAATTTAAAAAAAAAAAAAAAAAAATACAGACACGACATCATGTTTGATAGATAATCTAATTTTATTGTCCACCAGTATAAATACACAATTGAACATTGACTTCGTCTAAATCTCTAGTTCTGCTTTTTTTATCAAGACTAAAATTATTATCAACATATAACACATGTTATGTGACTTACCTATAATATCTAATTAATTAATTATTATACTATTAACAAATTAGGTATTTTAAATATACTAATAGTAATTATTCAATTCTACAAAATAATTATGTATTTGCATAAAATACTTTGTGAAAAGATACTGTTTAATATCTATGATAACAATATGAAAAGTTTTTAATACAATGGAACAGCAATACGGAAAGAAAACTATTTATAGTTATAAAAAAATGCACAGAAACGAATCGCCATTCCATCTAAGCACAGTAAATTTTGAAAAAAAAAATCTATAAGTTAAATATGAATAAAGGAATCCTACATTTTTCATACACCCATTCCGAACGCCACATAACCAAGAGCGGCAATAAAAATACTTGGAATCATTCGATATACAACACAAGCAAAATCGTAAACAATAAACACTATTAAAAACTGAATTGAAGCACCATAATTTGCATTGCATATAAATTTTTTTTAGGAATGATTAGTAACTTCGTTTATTTATTTACATTAACGAAGTTTCTAAACATTCCTGTCTCTAATACAGTATTGATATCACAAAACTGGATTTGCTACATAATTTCTAAGTAGAGAAGAACGGCTTAACAAAATTCATATGACAGATTTGTCTCCACCAGAAATAGAAAACGTATTGACATGTGTAATTGTGACGCATGAATGATTGTTGTCATATAATAGAACCAAAAACAGGACTACGTGACTTGAAGCCACGTTAATAAATTCTAATATATTAAGTTGTCTGGTAATAGTAAAGTATTAACTTTTTAATAAATAATATTTACGTATTCGAGGCAGCATCAAATACTAGCATAAAACCAAATACTAGCACTGCGTCATAAAAATGAAGTAACAGAGCGCTTCGAAATTTCGCTTATGGATATACAAAGTAGGCTTTACGTTACCAAAGACTTTGCCACCACCACTTTGGACTGTGGAATTAGGATTGCCAACTTTTATGACAAGAAATAAAGTAAATCTCATTTTCAAGTATATAAATAAAGAGTAAGAACTTTAAAAAAGTATTTTCTTTCTTGTTCGTTTACGATAAATACATATCCATCATATATGCGTGACTGGCACTAAAACATCGTATAATAAACATTGTGTAAAAAGTATATGTGTTATAGTAAGCCTACGTGATATAGAGCACAATACTCTTTTTTAAAGTAGAGCTCGTCTCACAAAAGAAGTCCCTCGGATCACAATGTTTTCACTTTAATTACTAAGGAATAAGTTATGCCGTTGACTTTCTTTCGTGAGTCAAACTTTATGGTTGGCAACATTCCGCGGAACGTCAGGACTGTAAATTAATGCTCGACGAATCTTTCCTCAGATTTGCACAGACCCTAATACTTTCTATACTACACAGTTATGGGTTATTTCAAGGACTCCTAAAAACTGTAGAGATGTCCTTGAAGACCTCCCGCTATGGTCTCTTGAAGTATTGCTCGTCGACTCGCTGAGCTAATGCGACTAAAGACTTATTCTGTTTCACCGTCTCCGCTAGCTTACGACACGGCAGTCTGGTCGTTATAATTGTGAACACGTGACCAAATACCAGGGCGTCCAGTTCCGTCGGTCTGTGAATAAAGATGCAATTAATATCGATAAATAAAACTTATCAATAACCTAAAAGTACGGTCGGCAAAAAAAGTGATCTGTCTATTTTGACAAAAGTTTTAGTGAGATCTAATGAGAGTGTAGATTGTCTGTTATCTAAAATGTCTGACATTCATAAAAATGGTTACTGTCATACTAATGCAAAGGCAAATCGACCTTTCGTATGAACCTCAACTATATTACTACCTACTACTACTAGCGATTAGCATTTTTCAAACGATTATACTAATAAAGCTTTATATATTATAGATATAAAAAATAGGATCGACATTTTTCTGTAAATTACTATTATTATCAGCAACACTACAGTAACAATACATTAAGAACAAACTATTAAAAACAATGATGTACCAACCATTGTCTTAAGTATTTTATTGCTTTTACTACAATTTAGATATAATTTATTGTTGTTTTCGCGTTTTGCTACAATTCTTCATAATTCCCAATTTCTTCTTATTCTTTATCATTACCTATTTACACATTTTATAGACATAAATAATAAACAGGGATCTGCAAAATTTATACATGATTCGAAATAGATAGTTGCAAAATATAACCGTCCGCTGTTGTCATTTTCAATCTTTTTCATTGAGAATAATAAGCTTTGTTTATGTGGTTAACACGTTTAGTATTATATAGGATTTATAATAATAATATAAATCCTACCAGAAAATATATTATTGATCTAACCGATATTAACCTGTAAACACGATTAATAATAAAATAACTTGTAAAGAATTGAAATTTCTTTGGCTAAGCAACCATAAAAATGATCCTTAGATGGAGTTGCGACAGCCCCGTTGCTACGAAACAAATTAGTACCTATCACCAGCCCTTTTACGTCCCCACTGCAGGGGCTCAGGCCTTCCTTATGGATGGTTAAGGAGAATGGGCCATGACCCTCCACGCTGGTCCAATGCGGATTGGAGGATATTAACGACTGCAAATGCACCCGGGACCAACGGCTTAACGTGCCTTCCGAAGCACGGAGTAGCTCAAGATAATAATTTTTTGGTCACCCATCCCGTGACCGACCCAAGCGAAAGTTGCTTAACGACTACGATCGCAGGCCGCGTATCCACTACGCCACCGAGCTACTCTAATTAGTACCTAACTGCTGAGTAATTCTTTTATTTGATTGAATCTCTAATGCTGCAACAGCACTGTGCTCGTCGTCGTATTTTTAACTAAATAGCAAAGCAATATCTACTAAATAATAGAATGATTCAAGGTTCAATAGAATTTAATACAAAATCAAAATTCAACATCAACAATTTCAATATAGAAGACCGATATGAAGGATGTATGTTGAGTAGACATTAATGGGTATGTTTAAAACTATATATATAAATAAATATGATATTTTAAAATATGACATTCTTATTACACATTACATCGTCATCTTCGTGTCTTGTCTATGGCAAGACAAACATTTTATTTTCAACGCGAAAAAGCCTCCTGCTTATATATGTAATCATTTAAAACTGCTGACATTAAGTGAAACCACAACTAAAATATATATATTATTACATTTTTTATTCTGTGTTTTATTAAGTTTTTATATAAGGAAACTGAACACCAAGTATAGCAGACCGAAAAGGAATAGCCAATTTTTCTCTTCCAATGAACTATTCAAGAATTCCATTGGAAATCATTACCGAACGCCGCATGACAGGTGCTGTTTTTAAATTAATTCATACAAAACGAAGTCGGCCTGCTGCATACATCCTGAACCATAACTACTAGTATAAAAGATGTGCAAAAATCTAATCTATATCAGCAATGGACGGGCTCCGATTGCTTGAAGCAGTTTTCTCCCTTAAATATTGCAAGAGACTTTGCACACTCAACTCTCCACTGGGCATTTTCAGGGTCGACTCTGTAAATTATATAATTATATTGACCAGCTTTATATTTTTAATAAATATATCTAAGGAATTTTAAGAATGGAGTAGTGGTAGTCAGCCACATTAGACGCAACACTGCTTTAAAGTATTTCACAAACTGTATGCGTTTACTTTGACCTGACCACATACCGCAGAATGCACTAGTGTCAATAATTCGATAACTAACGGAGAAAATATTAATAAATAAACTATCTTAGTTGACATTGAGGAAAATTTATATTTTATTAAAAATTCTCACACAACTAAATACCTGACAAATATTTATCAAAAAAAGATTGCTAATATGAAATGAAGATAAAAAAATGAGAAATAAAAACCTGATGACGCTATGGAACGTAGGTCCGATTTGATAGAATTCTGATAATCAACTGAACCCCTTTTGCTCTCACTATATAATGAATCGCCCCTGCATTTTATATTACTGTGAATTAAATAAATACATAATTCATTAATGTATACTAATATTATTACAACCAAAACTAGGAAAAGACTATATTACATCTCTCAGTACCCAGTACGGAGGTCAAGTGGTAATAGCAGGGCAATGTAAAGTACAAAAATCTCTTGCACATGTTTTATCACAATCTCTATGTCTATAAGGCATAAGATGAGTACATTAAAAAAAAAACCCAATATTTTAGTTGACTCTATGGATTTAAAAACACGAGTGTAATTGTTTCTGGGACCATTGAAAAATGTTTTTTCCTTAATGAAAATAACAATAAATCTAATTTACCTAGAAACTGTTACTGAACTGACTGTATCAGCCCTTAAATCTTCGTTTATTCCAATGTCACAAATCAAAAGTTTATCATTTACAAGACCATCGCTATCCGCATCACTCACGATCTGTTGTACATCATCAGGACTTAAAATCGATGTATCGTTAAGCAAATAATCGTTCTCATGTATAGTGTCCAAATATTCGTTAGTTCTATTCATACGAGTTCGATTTTCATCGTACTTTTCAATCGGATAAACTAGCATTTCGAAATCGTGTTTCTCTTCGTTCACTAGTTCGTCGACTTTATCGATTATATCGTCAACTATATCGATGACAAAATCGTATTGATCCTCGCCTAGCGAATTGAACTCTTCGAATCGTTTGGCGTCATTATATTCACACGTAATGCGACCCTCTTTTGAAGTCATTATTATTATTTGTTTGGAAGCAAACGGCTTGAAGCCTAGTGTAATAAAAGAACACAACTTTCAAATAGATTTACAAGGTAAATTTTTCTACGACAACTAGCGAGTTTTAGACATTAAGCAGGCGAAAATAATAATGTAGCTTTATTTTTGGTTCGGTTATCTAAATTATATTAGATTATATTCAATTGAATTATTCCTGTGGGTCGCACACAAAGGAGCAAAGTGGCACAGTGGTTAGCGCATTTGGTTTGCGATGCTGAAGTCAAGCAACTTTGAAAGAGCTTGTCGGAGGGTGTGATCATAAATTTATTATCTTAAGCTCTTCCGTAGTTCGGATAGCACGGTTAGCCTTTGGTCCCTTGGCTCCATCTGGAAGTGGCTGAATCTGAAATCGGTAACACCTACCAGGCCGCGCGTGATGGTCCATGATCAATTCTCCCTATTCGATTCCATTCCATATGGAGGGCCTGTGCCACAGCAATGGGGACATTAAAAAACTGACGACTGTCCTACACAAAGTTGCACAAAAACGCGCACGAAGGTCACTGTGCGATGGGTCACTGTGCGCTGGCCTAAATCGGATTGGAGGGTTTTAAAGACTGCAAATGCAGCAAGACCAACGACTTAATGTGCCTCTCGAAGCACGGAGTAGCTCGAAATATTTTTTTTGGTCAGCCATCCCGTAACCAAACCTTGAGAAAATTGCTTAACAACAACGATCGCGGGTCACAGCGCTTATCCACTATGCCGCCGAGCTACTCAGCTAAAGAATATGGCGACTTATTAATGCATTTTCTTTTCAGACTTCATTAAATCAGAAATAAAATCAGGACATGCCTATTACTACTATTAAAACTATGTACTTTTTAACCAAATTCAAAATCGAAAAGAAGGAGGTTATATGTTCTTTATATGTATATTTTTACTTAAATTCAGTTATTTTCGTAAACAAAGTTATAGAGCAGTTTAAAACTATGTTTACCAAATAAATTCTCTTTGCTGGTATTCTTAAGAGACATTTTCGATCGTCTCACTCTCGTGCTCCGTTCAGATACTGTACGATCCGGTGAACAACGGCGACGTGTTATTTTGAATGCTTGAGTTATCAAGTATTCCTCTTGGTACTGGATTAAGAGGGGTGAGGAAATAGGGATTAAAGTTTGGTTTATAAACAGATGGCGCTATAATTGATATTTGATGTTTTTTAATCAAATAAAAGGTTTCATTCTTTTGGTATTTTCATATTATCTGTATACCACTCTCCGGTTGACTGGTAGAGATAGTGCAAATAGTTTTAATAAATTATAGAAAAATCTTTTTTTAAAAAGATCCTTTCAAGTATTTTTGTTTAATATAAAAACAATAAACAAATCTGTTTCTTCTTATGTTAGTATAGATATTATTATTGTACTCAATTACCGATATATTATCTTGTTTAAAAAACATCGCCAACTATAACACTATCGCCATCTGTTGATTATGGTTTTTTACTGAAAAATGAAATTTAACAACTAACCGACAGTTTCATATTTGTCAATTTAACCATCCTCAGTAAATGACGCAGCAAAGAACTCGTAACAGATTTTATCATTAACGCCGCTTTAGGCCCATTCGCAGAAAGAATAGCCCGAATGTGTCCATAGATTAAGGCGTCCAAAGGAGTAGGTCTGGGGTATAATAGAAAAAAGATCGGAAAAAGAAACAGTATTTTGTTTTCTAAACCTATAAAACAAAAACTATGGTAAAATTAAAAAGCAATCAAATTCACCCACCTACCTATCATTAATTTTAGACAAATTTTAAAATTGAGGGTAGATTAACCGTTAGATCTGCCAGTTGCAACTAAAACGCCATCATGAACTGTCGACTACGGAAAAGTACTATGCGATTGATGATTGAGTTCTGTCAAACAGTCCTCTAGCAAGGCAAAAAAGAAACTAAAATATATACATATAAATATATGTCGCATCATCATTACGAAGATCGTTTGATTTAGTTTCTTTTATTTTAATTGCTAGTTACTCGATTACTTAATTACTCGATTGTAAAGAGAGCGTGATCATCGATACCCTTAATTTTATTAGAATGGTGACACTGACTTTGACAGTTCGTTAATATAAAGCAAGTTGCCGCCATTCTGGCACACATTCTGTTTCCGATCGCCGAGGAGTAAAGACATCCGACGAGATCACGCTCATCTCGTTATATTTTCGTACGAAAAGTGATCAAATGGAATTAATCCACGTTGGTTTACACGCCTGCAGTGTTATTTTAAAGATAGTCCTCCGATATGGACGATCTATTTGGGCTTCGTAATAGCCCCTTCGGACTACCCGCCGTTATATATATATATATGTCGCATCATCATTACGAAGACCGTTTGATTTAGTTTCTTTTATTTTAATTGCTAGTTACTCGATTACTTAATTACTCGATTGTAAAAAGAGCGTGATCATCGATACCCTTAATTTTATTAGAATGGTGACACTGACTTTGACAGTTCGTTAATAAAAAGCAAGTTGCCGCCATTTTGGCACACATTCTGTTTCCGATTGCCGAGGAGTAAAGACATCCGACGACATCACGCTCATCTCGTTATATTTTCGTCTGAAAAGTGATAAAGTGGATCAAATCCACGTTGGTACCACGCCTGCAGTGTTATTTTAAAGATAGTCCACCGATATGGACGATCTATTTGGGCTTCGTAATAGCCCATTCGGACTACCCGCCGTTATCAGAAGTTGGGATGTAACCGACCAAGTGGACACACAGATATCATGGATATGGAAAATCTTGTTGCGGTAACAAAATCAAAACTTTTTCGCCCTCAACCACGTTAGTAATATGTACCGTCGTCGAGTCACATATGTATCTCGATCGTGGAACTCGATCCTGGCAATATTTCTACCTGTCGATACAAGAAGAAACACTTGAAGCCTTCGTGGGAAGAACCAAGCGTTCCTGATATGACGAACAGTTGCGGAACAGATGGTCACTACTCTCAAGATACCTGTAGCCGAAGAAGATGCAACGGTGGCCAAACTGATGGCTCGTCTGTTGGCATTGCTAGTGAGCGACATCTGCTTCATTGCTACCCTTGCTAGTATTTTGCAGTATTTCGGTGAGTCGTTTTCATTTTGTTATGATACTGGAGTCGAGTGCTCCCTTATAAAGTAATTAATATCGTGAAGAATTCATGGCAATCGAATTTGTAACACTCTTAAAATCACTAGTTAAGTGGAAATAAAATTGAAAAAGTGTAATTGCATTGCTGGTTAAGTGGTGCAATCGAGGTTCTCAAACCAGTTTGTTGTTTATGAATAATTTCATTGTAAAAAAGATTTGATGATAGGATTTATCAACTCTTAAATTCTTATTACTAAAGAAACTTAAAGTAAAAACGGTTTCTAATTATTAAAGTTTCGATTGCTTTCAAAATCTTGCTTTAGTTAAAGTCAGGACTGACCGAAAAAAGAATCTACCACGCGGCACATCAATTAGATAGACGCCTAGTAAAAACATTTTCATGAAAGTTCAATTCAAAAATCAAAAATTTCTTGTGAAAAGACTGTATAAATCCCATCGTATGAACTTCCCAAATTTTAAGTCATTTCACAGAGCCTCTGGGGACCACGATCATAAATAAGGCCCAGACCCCAGCTTCGTCCTTCCCGTTTCCTTTAGAGCCTCTGGGGACCACGGTCTCATGTAAGACCCAGACCCCAGCATCGACCTTTCCCAGTCTCCTTTTGAGCTACTGTGGACCGCTCATGACCACAGCATCATATTTGCTACGAGTACAATAATCAATGCAAGTATGCGTGGAGCATTTGCATTGACCAAATATACTTGATAAAACAGCTCATTTTCCTAAACAATTTCCTAAATTTTCCTAAACCTGTCCTAAACAACTTAACTACCGATTTTATAAAAATTGTGATAAAATACCCGTTGATAATAAATTTGATGTTTAAAAAAAAAGATGGCCGAAATCTTGTTCAAATCAAAATTCCCAAATGACTAGGTTTACAGATACCTAGCTCAGAAAAGCTCTTGTATTTAGTTACAGAAACGCGACTGGCGCAGAGCACGCACCGTCTCCCAGAATGGCCGTGTCGCATCATCATTACGAAGATCGTTTGATTTAGTTTCTTTTATTTTAATTGCTAGTTACTCGATTACTTAATTACTCGATTGTAAAGAGAGCGTGATCATCGATACCCTTAATTTTATTAGAATGGTGACACTGACTTTGACAGTTCGTTAATAAAAAGCAAGTTGCCGCCATTTTGGCACACATTCTGTTTCCGATTGCCGAGGAGTAAAGACATCCGACGACATCACGCTCATCTCGTTATATTTTCGTATGAAAAGTGATAAAGTGGATCAAATCCACGTTGGTACCACGCCTGCAGTGTTATTTTAAAGATAGTCCTCCGATATGGACGATCTATTTGGGGTTCGTAATAGCCCATTCGGACTACCCGCCGTTATATATATTTTTATAAATCAGCGCATTATCGTAATACGATAATACTTTGATACAATGATGATATTTTGTCATGAATTCCACAGATTTACAGTCAAGAGACTGAACCTCGACTTATTTACCAAATAAGTGTAAAGTACTCACGTCCCAAAGAAGTAATCCCTGTCCCCCAAGCGTTGGCTCAGTGAATTACAGCATTGCTCCACCTTAAAAGAGTAATATTTCAATGAGACGTGGTGTACGAGTTTTGTATTTATATTTTTTCTAGCTATTTTCCCACGACTTCGCTAGCGTAAATTATAACCTATGTCAGTCACGTATGATGTAGCATAGAAAAAAAAAATTTCAAAATTGGGCCAGTAGTTTCGGAGCGTCATCTTCCCGTGACGATAGTAATTGAAAGGGAAAGGCTAGTAATAAGTCGAAATTGGCTTTATTTTTACATTTTTGCACATTTACAAGGAGTAAAATGAGAAATTCAGAATTCACTTTGTACACAAAGTCAAAATAGATGGACAAAATGTAAACGTGATAAATGACAGAATAATGCTTTTTGAAATGAACATTTTGCAAAGGTTATTAAGCACTGCATTATGGTGTTAAAAATAATTATCAACTTTATAATAGTTTTGCTCACAAATCTTTCATCATTTTATTATTTTATTAAGTCACTCGCGTGTTTTTCGTTTTTAAAGGGTTCCGTTGTGTCTAGGAAATTATTTATGTACTGTATTAATTGTATTCTGAAACTCCTCTATATTGGATATTTCTTCATTTTGCGTGAAAAATGTAAATTATCTACATATTTTATTATTATTATCTCATTAAGTCTCTTGCGTGTTTTCAATTTCAAATATGAAACTCTGGGGCAGATTTGGGCCGTCTCCTAAATACAGGTAATTCAATTACACTATGGCATAATCCGTACGCTGAGAACGATAGTGACACAATGCAAAAAAATGCGATTTTCAGTAATTAGTAGACTGTTTAAAGTTCAAGAAATTGTAATCCGCCCCTCTAAACAACGTATCGTCACTACGCCACCTAGCAGTTTCTATGCAAGCTACGTTCACAGGGATCTTTGCATTTTAAAGTTTATACTTAACAAAGAAAAATATGCCCAAAAGTAAAAAATGCGTCGTTTTTGGTTAGTGACATTGTCATTCTCAACTCAAGGTTTATTAACATAGCAACAATAAGGAAGACGCCTGAGTTAAAAAAAAAAAGAAATCCTTTTGAGTCCGTCAATGTGTCTGATATGCTTCTATTAATTAGATATTACCTTATAGAAAAATATGAATACATATTTATTTTGCTTCAATTTAACAAGAAATGGCAATTTAACAAGTAGGGCTCGCAAACGTCACAACCATGTCGAAAATGTACAAAGATGTAACGTCATGCGACATTTCAAGTCAATGTATCACCTTAATTTATTGATTGCGCAAAAAAATTAATAATACTCGATAATCTACCTAATGGAGAAACAAAAAAAAAATGTCATAATCCCTACTCTCCCAGAATAATCATCTTGTTTTCTGAAATTTGGAAGAAAATGAATAATACATATAAAAAGTTATACAACTCACATCAGCTAACACTTGGTCTAGTGTCTTATCATGCCAATTCAACGCTTTCAGCCTCTTTGCGACAGCATTTCTTTTAGCTCTAGTTTGCAGCCAGCCAAGCGGCCATGGGTACACTGACGAATTGCGTACTTTTGTCACCGCATTGAATGTCTCTTCATCTAACCAGGATATGTAGAGCTGTAAATAATAAAATGTTAGACAAATTTGATACATTGATAAAGCCAATATGGTAATTTGTAATATAACTAGGCACCCATTGCTGGATACTGGGGTCATTCCGCCCACGTCAGGTGAACCGCAGGGTTTTACCAGGTAGGCCAATCTCACTCAACCTGTTCTTTTGAAAGGTTTAAGGCTTAAATTGAAGATGCTCGCTCCACTGTGTTATCAAAAAAAGAGGTAATTCGTAATAAAAATAAGTATTTTTTTACTCATTACTCAGAATGAGTACAACATATAACATGGTGGCGGGGCTTAGAGTAATAAGATACAAAAAAAAATAAGACGATATTTGTGATATAAACAGTGAGGAACAAAAAGCAAAATTGAAAATTTATCATCTAACATTCTTAAAAGAGCATGTTCGGATGTCAATCTGCTTGTATAGTAGAATATATAATCAGATTGCCTATCATGTATTATAGAACCATCATAGTTAGTAATTTCCTATTCATAACAAGATTTTTCCATATAGACCTTTCAATAAAACCTATGTTGGAGACATTGATACGTTAACAAAATCTGATATCTATATCAAACATAATATTTACCTCAGCATTCACCAAAACATTAGTTATAAGACTCATATAAGCCCTCATTTCAGCTTTCTCTTCAGTGCTTAATCGGCTACATAATGTGACACCTTTATTCGCAGCAAACTGTACGATCGGTTCCAACTCCGAAACTACAAAAGCGCCACACTTAATAAACGGCACCCGACCGGACGGCGACATGAACTCTGCATTCCAACGCATTTCCACTTCAAAGGGTAGATTGCAGATCTAAAAAATATTATATTTAGATTATTGCATTATGATATGTTTTATGCAAATAAAGAAAAAAGCGATAAGCATATTCAAATAAGAAGAAATTCTAAACATCAGCTGAAGCATTAATCACATCTTAGTAGCTGCGAGTTTAGGATCCGAGCAATTTGTTATGTCTAATATTTATGAATATTATCAACAAATTGATTCCTTTTCTTCCAAGAAGGACTAAATATTATTATTAATCAACCTTTAAGAAGGCCTGAACTGCTAAACAACTTGCGTTATCAGGTAAAAGTATTTGTTCCACCTCGTAAGGTTGAAATAGCTTCACATTGTCTGGCCATGGCTCTTGAGCTGAAAATTGATAGCTTAATTAAAAAACTGGATCTGCTCAAATTATGATGAAGTTACAAATTTCAATATTATTATTTATTGCCTAAAATATAACACTATTTATTTTAGTATTTTACTATAGTAATTTCATGTTTTTTTACATATGAATTAGGTTGGGGAAAAGGTCTTTTCACATTTAGTATGCATAAAGTTGTAATAAAATATTTCTATCTATACCATTTTTATCTGGCTGGTTTTGGTATCATTAAAAAGTTTTAATTGTAAACGCAAATAAATTATTATTATTATTGAAAATTGAGTAATTTTCATTTGTTTTTCTTACTGTCAAAATGTGTGAATCTAATGAAGAAAAACAATAAATTTTAAAATTTTATTACAAAAAAGGTAAAAATGCAATGCCAGCTGCGCATAAAAATTGTGAAGGTTATAAACTTAGTGCAGTTTCTGTGAGAGTAGCACAATTTTGGATTAAACATTTTCATCCTGAAATCCAGAAATTTTGATGTCAAAGACGTACGCACTTAGCTCCGGTCGCCCTGTTACGCATAGAATGGGTGCCATTGAGCAAGATCAGCATATCAGTAGTTCTGAATTAGCTGAAGCACTGGCAATTGGCAACAGTTTTGGCACATTATGAATACCTGACGAGCTCACTGAAAGAAACCTAATGAACCTAGTATTCATTTGTAATTATTTATTATAGAGTAATGAAACCTTAAACTATCTACCCTTTTATAAAAAAATGTTTTGAATTTTTTTATAAAATGAAAATAAACTTCTTTCCCAACCATATTTAACATTTCAATTTGGCATATGTTTTTCACACATATTAGTTTGTTAACAAATTGTAGATAAAAATATAAAATTGAATGTAATAGCATTATTACTAGCTAAATATATTCTAGATTAAATTTTTCCAGGGGAATATGGGGTAATTATATTGGTCAAATACCTGCTATGATTAATTTTCATAAAAACAAATCTTCATTCATTTTAATTTTAACTCAAAAGGGTTGCATGCTTTTAGGATAAATACTACATTTAAAAAAAAAACAATATTTTACAGTTTAAAAAACCTCAGGATGTTAATGTTTATTCACAAATTATTTACGACTAAATCCTAGTAGATCATAATCTAGAGTCTCAAATCTAGACATATAAAAGAATAATTATTTTAAAACTTGAAAATAGCAATTTAAAATCACATGGTTTCAAAAGTAATACCAAATTCGAAATTCCCTTCAGGCATTGCAACAATGTCTAAGATAAAACCAGAAATATATAACCACTGTTCACAGCGAAGATTGAATCAGATGTAGGGCACCTTGTGTCTAAAATTAAGCGATTCTGTCACACAAACAATATAAATAATACTTTTCTAATGGAAACAAAAATTATATAACTTTTGAATTGACACAAATTTATGCAAAATATACATCACCGTTAAAAGATGTAATAATAGAATCCTTTAATGACAATTCAGGCATAGTATTTTATTTAATCAAAACATGTATATTTCAAAATTTAACTCTTTATTTTCACTATTTTGTCTTTTGAGATTACACTAAACAGCTCGATTCAACTAGAACATAGAACACATTCACCGACGTTGACATTTAACATGACACTGTCACTGTCAATCAAAATGAGGAAATATTTAAAAAAAGCACCTTAACCATCAACGCTAGCTACATATTCTTAATCTGTGCCATCAACCGGACGGGTTGTCATGGAGAAAACAAGAAAATACCGTACTGACATCACATCTAGTTTGATTTCGGGAGCTAATGTTTTATTTTTTAATTTTCCTCATTACCGATTTAAGTAATTCTGTTTTATGGTTTAATAGTCACTTTTCGGGAATGCATTTTCACACCTAGACCGATACAAACCTACATGTTCATGTTTGTGCTGTCGTAGAACATCGAATATTTGGTCAAATATTTGTGAATGTTTGCCATGTTGGCGCTTGGGTTAGCCCAGGAACAAATCTCTGTTATTATATTAAAAATACTTTGATAGTTAATTAAAGAATTGTAAAATCACAATGAAATTCCAACAGAAGTCAAGGTAGGATGGAAGAACTACCCACTGCAATTGCTGCTATCAACGATGATCTTGAACATATATCTGATTGGTCTGTTAGTCAACCCTCATAAATCTCAAGCGATCATCATTGGAAGTCATTGGTATCAGGGTAGGTTAAATTATGCTGCACTGCCACCTATCTTAATATACGGCAATCTTATACCATTCACTCAGTCAGTTAAAAATCTTGGTGTCATATTTCATTGTAATATGTCTTGGAGCCTTCATGTCCAGGAGGTTAGTAAGAGGATGTTTGGTGCATATAGCTCGCTCAAGCGACTTAAAAATCTTTTGCCGACTAAGACTAAAATCACTCTTGCTCAGAAATTTCTTCTCTCATTGCTTGACTATGCTAATTTATGTTATAGAGGCCTTAGTGTCGTTTTCCTGAACAAACTTGAACGACTTCAGAATTTATGTATCCGTTTTGTCTTTGGTCTACGTAAGTATGATCATATTTCTTATTATCGAACCCAACTTCAGTGGCTACCTATCTTTCGCAGAAGAGACTGTCATATCCTATCACTCCTATATTCCATCCTGTTTCACCCACACACACCGCATTACCTCAAAGAGCGCTTCGTCTTTCACTCTATAAATCTTACCCTTGATCTGCGGTCTTCCTATAATTTATCTTTAGTTACCTACTCCTCCCCACAATACTGATTTTGTAGCCAAGTCATTTTCAGTTAAAGCAATCAAATTATAGAACTCTGCCTATAGATATTAAATGCGCGCAGTCACGGAACTCATTTATGAAATTGATAAAGGAATATTGACGTGTTATCATCGACCACTTTTGAGACTCTGACCGGGTATCTAGTTAGAGCCCGGATTGCGAGAGAATCCCATCTGAGAGGACAAAATGGATTTTAAGCATTTTTCCAGTATAGCATTGTAAATGCAAAATGATCAAATATAATAAATATTTGCTAAAGCTATGATGTTTTCTCTAGTAGGTATATAAAAAGTTGGTATTTCAACTTTTCTTTGAAGTTTTAATTTAATTGCATAAAAAAGTTATTTCACGAAACACTTCGTTTCCAACCGCTCACCATCAAAATCGTTTTCACGTTATGAATATTATATGATTTTGGTGTGTATATTCTGTTTGATGTGAAGACCAACTTAAGACAAATTATTTGTAAGTACTGAATTGTTTCGGCATCATTATGCTCTGAAGTATTTAAATTCTCTTCTACTCTTCCGTTAAAAGATGGCATTCTTGATATTTAATGATATCGAGAATTACCTATATAACACAATAAAATTCCCATAAAAAGTTGAATCCGAACCGTAAACTTACCCATTTGTATCAGCTTAGTAATATTATCACCGACACATGCTACATTCTTATTTAACAAATTGATACCAAACGCAAATTCATCGTCATCAAAAAAATCAAAAGGCCGCTCTTGTGTCTCAAATTTAGTTTCATTGGATAAATTTGATTTAGAATTAACTAAATCAAGATAATTGTTGAATATCGATTCGCCAACTCCATGTGGTGGAGGTGACAGCGACCTTGGGGTAGTCATGGGAGATTTATCCAACCAATCTGCAGATACAGACACTTTCAATTTTGATTCATTATATTTCCTTTCCCATAGTTGAACACTCATTGTAAATTTAAAAATTATTTCCAATAAAAGGAGTCTTTTTCTTTTTTGGTAAGTAGTTATGTCAAAAAGTTTTTAACGTTACTTTTGTCATTGATACATTTATATCATAAATTGTCAAATAAATATAATGAGTATCTCTTCTTTTTAGTAAGCCAGGATTAACCTCAAACGTCCATGACGAAAATGGTGATTATGTAGCAGCTGAAATGCGTAGAATAAAATTGAATAAATAAGTAATGTCTAACTACTCATTTATATTATTAGGTATTTCAATCAAGTTTTGCTAAAAGATGACTGTTTGTTTTCTTATCTTTTTCTTTTTAGTAAGCCAGGATTAACCTCAAACGTCTATGACGAAAATGGTGATTATGTAGCAGCTGAAATGCGTAGAATAAAATTGAATAAATAAGTAATGTCTAACTACTCATTTATATTATTAGGTATTTCAATCAAGTTTTGCTAAAAGATGACTGTTTATTTTTTGTCGAGTTTTGAATTGCGGCAGGGGCTACAAACATTTTCCAAGTTCAACATAAACTTCCAAAAATATTAAATGAGACTAAAATCAACTAAGTCTAACTACCTCGCGGCATTAAGGTTCCCTGTTACATTAAGGAGGCGTCAGACATATGATCAGATTTACGAAATATTTGAATAATTTATTTGTGTCTGCCACATTTGCTTTCAAATAATTTGTGGTCACATTTGTCACAAAGATGGTAGACAAAATGGACGTCGAAAAGGCACAAAGAAATTGTAGTAAGTATAGCAGGCGGCACAATTTTTTCAAAGTTTACTTTGATCTACATCAACGCACGTCTGACTATAAAACTGACAAATGTCCCCACTCGATGTTAAACCTTAATTCGTTAAGATTAAGGGTCAAAATTTAGTACAGAAAGGTAACCAGCAAATATACGGGGAAAAAGCCCATGGCTGGCATAAATGAAATCAAGAAGATAATATATTATATAGATTTTTGTCTCTAGTTTATCATGGTGAAAGTCACTACTTAGCAGAAAGTAGGAGTTTCTCAAAAAAATAGACCTGACTAACTCAACATTGGCGAGCGTAAACTAGTTTTGATATTATCCATGATTTTTGATCAGCAGACATAAGTATTTTATAGAGTAAGTAGTGACAAACGATTTTTTTTTTGGGAAATTCAATCTTTAAGAACCTTAGTGGGTGAAATAAAGGTTGAAAGTTTATATCTTCCATAAATCTATCCATCAGTTTTGAAGTTAGAAACTTAAAACTTTATTTTATTGTAACTAATAAATAATAGCAAGTACCTAATACAGTATTTGTGGAAATTCTATGCCTATGGGGAAACAAAAGAGTTCAAAGTTTGTATGAAAACCTAGTAGAACTCGAACTAGAAAGTGATTTCAGTCGACCGACAGCTAAAAAGTAAAATGAATCACTGAAAGAAGTTTAAGGAGATGGAATCTCAAGATTCAAATTCTATGAGGGTTGTAATGCGTAGGAGTTTGAACAGTTCATAATTTATTTTAGTTCATATTAATATCCTTATATATATATTATACAATATTAAGTTGGTTTATTATTTATCATTTGAAATAATTTTTGGATTGCAATAGTAGACAACACGAGAATTTAATTTATGTTCAATTTTTTTTTTCGTATTTGAATATACTAAATGACTAAATACAATGTTAAGGGGGCTTATTGTCTATCATTTAATACCATTGTCATTAATATCTGCGACTCGGTTGAATTGCAATAGTAAACAATACGAGAAAATAATTTTAGGTCTGGTTACATTTGCTCAAGACTCAAAAGAACAACTGATAATTCCTTTCACTGACTATTTCCACATTGTGAAAGCTGAAGTTAAAAAACTCTGGTTAGCCTATTGGACTAAAATTAAAGTATCTAAAGGAAGTTGGTATGCTAGTGTACAAGAAAGTTTTCCCGTGAAGCCTTGGTATAATAATAAACAATGTGACTCAAGAAAATTCATCACTACAATCAACAGGCTTCGGTTTGGCCACTGCTTAGTACCAAGTCATCTTCACAGACTTAAAATAAAAGCTGATAGTCGGTGCAATCACTGCCAACAACTAAATGCTGATATTGACCACTTATTCTTTACCTGCTCTGCTTTTGGTATCCAGAGACTGCTGTTCGCTAATGAACTTTAATCAATTTCGGATGAGATGAAAACAAGTGTTCCCCGCCGCATTACAGACATATTATCGGAGCCAAGGTTCTATTTAACTATATACAAATATATATGCAACACTGTTAATTTATTGTAAATAATTTAAGTTTATATTGTTCTTTTAATAATTTAAATTGTCTTTGTTCTTCGTATCTTCGTTTTGTTTCGTATCATAAAGTTTAGGTTAAGTTTGATGACATTTGTTTTTTTTATGTATTTGTTCATTTTTTTTCTAGTAATTCCATTTTCTGTTTATTTTTAGAATACTGATTATTATTGAATTGTAATATTTAGTTTATAAGATAGAATATTATATTTTGTAAGTGTGATTGTAACATGTTTCGGCTAAAGGACAAGCATCCAAGCCAAGAATAAACTTAAAAAAAAAAAACTCAAAAGAACGTGAAGCCAGAATCGTTAATAAAACGCTGTTGAAAAAAATATGACACGCCGCGCCGCTATGGCCATAGCAAACCATAGACTAAAATAGTTTAGTGAATAGCAGTAAATCGCATTAGGAATTCTGTATTTTTATTCTAAAGTAATTTATAAAAGGTTCAACTTCAATAACAAACTCGAATTTCAACTCATTGAATACTTTAAAATAGCATGGCAGACGTTTTGGACATTGAAAATTCCGAAGAATTTGAGGTTGACGAAGATGGTGAACGTAAGTAATATTTTGCCTGTTCTTTCTGATGGAATTTCAGTAATTATCTAATAATAACACCCGTTACACTTCGATGATTGTTAGCAGTTCATTTCAAGTAAGAGATGTTAGTAATGTTACATGATTTTCTAAATTCTAATACTTTCGTTTTAGGTTATGATTGTTATTTAGCTTAGCCTACTTTCGAATTTATGGATTATTTAATTTTGATTAGTCTCTCCAATTATTTTATTTTTTTGCAGCTGGCTGTACGTAATTGTTGTAACAACTTATTTTCAGAGGGAATTGCTAGATTGAAGGAAAAGGCGCGAAAACGTAAAGGTCGTGGTTTTGGTAATGAATCTGGAGGTGGAGGTGCTTCAGAAAGAGGCAGCAGAGGAAGGTAATGATAATCAAGCAATTTCACTAGCATTATAAATGTAAATGAATGTTTAAATCTGTTCAATCAGTAAAACTAATGTTTTAAAATTAGGCACATAGAAGTAATATTACAGGTTTATCAGAACACTACACATTTCACACTAAACTAATAGTAATATTTATTAGACCACAACAAAACAAAATACATGATTTTTTTTACATCCTTGCTTATCATATACTGTACCTATTTGCTTAGCATCTGCTGCTGAACCGAGTGAATAACCAGTCTTTCAGCATGCATCGCCTCAAACCTCAGATTCTTAGAATTATTACATATATTTTAAACAGATCAGTAACATTAAAATTGGTTTCTTATACATATTACTTGAGTAATCTAAAAAACAGGAACAGACTTCAATTAGCCTATAGCTTCACCCTCTAGATGAGTAGAATGATTATGACTTGCTTGAGTAATGATTTATAAAAATGTTTAGAATTCCTACCAAGATAAGCAAATTTCTTAATATTATGTGCAACAAAAAGTTATCATTATACTAATCAGTCCTGGACAATGAAAAGCATACCTTAAATTATGGCAACACTGTTAAATTGCTCAGAAAGCCATTTGATCACTGAGTATATTACTGCCGGCCATTTTAAGCAGGTCATCTGGAGGGTTATTTATCAGATGATCGTGTTTATTACATTTTCTGTTTCATCAGAGCTGAGTTTTTTAATTCAACATATTATTCTTTTCACTACTAAACCAATATTAATTAAATTCAGTACATAGATAGAGTGGACAAGGGTAGTTTTTAGTGATAAAACTGAATTGCATATGGGTTAAACTACAGGTGGAAAGCTAGTAATAATATTTCTCACACTTAAAGGAACTTAATAAGAAAGTTTTTTATGTTTATAGATATGATAGTCTGGCTCCTGAAGGTGATGGCAGTACACCAGGTCCCCAAAGATCAGTCGAAGGATGGATTCTTTTTGTCAGCAATGTACATGAAGAGGCACAGGAAGAGGATATACAGGTAAATATATAACAGCTATGAAGGTTTCGTTATAAAATGATATATTTCAATGATCATATATGTATTTTTAATTTTTAGAATCAATTCTCTGAATTTGGAGAGATCAAGAATATCCATTTAAATTTGGATAGGCGTACTGGTTTCTTGAAAGGATATGCCCTGGTTGAGTATGAAACGTACAAGCAGGCTGCGGTAAGTACAGCAAATCGTTTATACTGGAAAAATTGTGGACTAATAGTTTCAGTACGGTGATTTGAATAATATGCATTGCAATTTGATGGCTAACAGTTTATTCTATTGCTTAAAATATTTTTTTTGAGACATCACTGGGCAGATTGAAATTTTCATTGCTATGCGGGTCTTGTTTCCTATACATTATAACAAATATATCGACGCTGGAAAGCAAACACGTAGTAACCCGCAAAACAGAAATGGATATTTAAAGTGGGAAATCTTCATATTTAAAAAAAAAACTTATTTCCGTATAAATTGACTAAGGAACACCTTATTTGTTACCATGGACGTTTATAGGAAGTATTTATCGATAAAAAATAAAAGTTTTTCTGCTCTGAAGCACAACTTTGGTTTTATGGGTTACTACGTGTTTGCTTTCCAGCGTCGATATAATGAAACCATTATATTATGAAGAATAAATTAATCTAATAATAATATTGGGCTTCAGGTAGGTACTATAAATACAAAATGGCAAAATGCATGTTGTTGAGATGCAATTATTACGTTACGTTTTTTGTATTATTTGGCATAATCACAATTTGTATTTGACAAAATTACCAAAGTTCATTCTCCTCAGCTTATTTAATCACTATTCCTGAAAGCATTATTTGTTATCTTAACATTATTTTGTTGTTTTCAGAGTGCCCGTGAAGCTTTAAATGGTGCTGACATATTGGGACAAGCAATATCAGTAGATTGGTGTTTCGTTAAAGGTCCAACAAAAGGGCACAAGAAGAGACGATAAGAGTCATTTTAATATCTAAATAGTGTTGCGATTAGCACTTTTATAATATATTTTAGTTTGGGGATTTCACCAACTTTTCTTAATACTTATTTTTATTTATTAGTGGGTGAGTTTGGCTGTACAGCAAATGGAAGGCAGTGCTTGATTATTTTTATATTATTGAAATTGGTATTGAATAGTCCATAATTATGTAGACAGTGTAATAGAGTTATAAAAAAAGATATATTATCAAATATTTTTAAAATGTGAACCAAATAGGAATATTATTGTTCATGAATTATCCTCATTGTAAAAACGGAACTCACATTTATAATAATAATTATATGATATGGCAACCTTGTCCCTAGTGTGAATTATTTTGGCCAACCTGTGGCGAGTGTTACAGAAAAGGTCCCTGCTAAAATTCCTTTTGGGAAGAAAACACTATTTGAAGATAAAAATAATGATTTATTTAAATAATATAAAAGTCAAAAAGTGTTTTGCGCAACACTATGCTAACTCTAATTTGGTAATATAAGCTATGTTTCTATAAAGATTTGTTTCATTTTTTAACTATATTCTAAGCTAAAACAATCTTTGAATACTAAAAGGTAAGCGACGCGGTAGTCCAATTCATGTTTAGATTATTGATGCTTCACAGCAATTGTAAAGAATCTTGAATAAAAAATAAAAATAAAGTTACACTGACCCCGACGTGATTTGAACACGCAACCTTCTGATCTGGAGTCAGACGCGCTACCGTTGCGCCACGGAGTCGATATAAGACCTGCCGAAAATGTACACCACTCTATAGTAAATCACTTTTACAAAAATAGATTATAAATCACTAGTAAATTACTTTTACAAAAAAAGATTAGCTGACTTATGCCCATTTTTATTAAACTTAAGAGTTGCCCAAATCTGTCGCCTAAATATTTAAGAATCGCCAAAGTTCGAAATGCATTTCACCATTGACTAGGAACCACCTAACGAAATTAAGCAATGTCTATTCATTATGCGACGCCTTGCGCTAAGCGTTTGCTAATATGAAAGGTCATAAATATGTCAAGGGATAAAATAAAATATTTATTTGATATTAAACTAATCTGCTTAGGCGGTTCGTAAGATTAGGCGTTTCCGTGTTAAGATAAGCCTTGTTCTTGGTTAGTGAAAACGGAGGTTACTACCGTAAACTCTAAACTATAGCCTATGCCAAATATATATATTTTTAACTGGTGTACATTCATATTATTCTTACTCTTGAGAGTACTACATTCAAATTCTTATTTGTTAAAAAAATGTTATTTAAATTATTTACTTACAGTTATTACTTTTACTCGACTATAGATACGAGCGTAAGTACATAAACAAATTCAGAGGCGGCGCAAGATCTACATTTTATTTAGGCAGACGACTTCCGTGGCTCGTACGTCGGTTTCGATGTGTAGCCCTATCTGAGTTCTCAGGTTCATTTTCGGTCGGACCAGTGTCGAATATGATCTTTTCTATATGTCTGGAGTTTTATTACCTTCGTTGTTTCAGTTTTCCATATTACCTATAAGTGCTTTACACTCACCCAGTTGCACAAGCGACAAATAAAATTTTCATTAGTTTGAAGCTACCGAAACAAATTTTCAAATTTAGAACATTCATTAGAGCTTCAATAAACCCAATGATGTAATAAACCATTAATGATTGAGCAACTAGGTGTTAGTTATTTACTGTATTTGAGATCGGAACAATGTATGTGAAAAACGTTAGAGTAGGGGTGATCGATCAGGCAATCAGTTTTAAAACGGAGAAGAGGCCTTTTGAAAAAGTTAGGGTTTAAAAAAAACTAAGAAAATATCAACGATCAAAGAATTAATATTTTTTTTGTTTCTCTCCAATGTGTTGTGGTTTATAAATAAAAATAATCAGGACGCACATTTTATATAAGACGCGCGACTGTGTGATGTCTCACACCTCGGCAAGTGAAAAGTATATCGAGTAGTTTTATAACAGGGTAAAGAGATTACCAAATTTTATGCAATTGTAATTTTCAGGTACTTATTACTGTCATAGCTAAATAAATAATACTCAGTATCACTTCCACGCTCCATCCATGATCTTCAATTAGATAGATAGTCAGCAGTCTGTTTTGTATGATTTTAAAGTTTTTTGACTTTCAATTTAGAGTTCAGTTCGGTAAATAATGCAAGAAATAAAATCAGCCACGCTTCTGAGTAGTCATATTTATAAGTATGAACATAAAGTGACAAATGAAACTCAAGTCACAGATCAGTTGTTATTCGGAAAGCAAAGAATGACTTTTCTGGGGGGATATGCTACGGGGCCCTGCGGCACTGCTTATATAATGGACTATATAAGTCCCTTATTTATCAATTTGTTACGAAATAGGGACAAATAAAGTTACGTAGTTTCGGAGATTAAAGTCTTTGTGGCGCTGCCGTATTTATTAAATATATCTAAAAGTATTGACTTCATACATTCCTAGGCGCTATATCCCAGACTGATAAATAAGGGATTAAATGATCACCTGGAAAGTTTTTGAAATTCATTGTAAGTACAGACCACTAGCTGTGGCGTTACCAGAATGACATCAGCCCATCAATGGACTCGTTAATCTCCGAAACTACGTAACATGGCTCCGTTACGAAATGAGCGATAAATAAAGGACTAGATGAAGCAACAACTGATTCTAAAATGCAAGATGGCGCTACCAGACTAACAAACACCAACCTGTATTCTATGACAAGTAAAAAAGGAATAATGTCATATGCAGAGAGGACTTGGTGATTTGTAATACAGGCTAATCCCATTTCAAATACCAGCTCCTCACATAATTAAGAATATGTACTTGTTTATTGTAAGATTGTGAGGAGAATAAATTTATTAAATTAAATTTATTCCATAATGTTTGAAAAGTAGTTAATTTGGAAAATATTCTGGCAATAATTACCATAATTTCGAACTTATAAAATCTTCAAAATTTAAAAACAATGGTCTCAATGTACCTCCATGAGGTACTCTTAAATCTATGACAGGGGTTAAAATAAAAAGACAATATTTGGTCTTATCCGTATATTAAGTTCAAGCTATAGAGCTCGCGTTGGAGGCGATACGCGGCCATAGATCCGCACACTCCTTCGCTACAGGTCCTGTAATAGCTGATCCCTTCATTTCGCCCTTGTTGTTCACTATAACGCCTGCATTGTCTTCGAAGTATATAAACACTCCATCCCGCCTCCTGAATGGTTTCCGCTGCCTGATTACCACTGCAGGCATTACCTGAAGTGGATAAAAAAAGTTTATATTATACAAGTTGCTTATATGCACACATGTGATTGCAACTGATGAAATATTCTGAAAAAGTTTTTAATGTACTCTAGAATCCATGATAAGATAAAAATGCAATAATATTTGTATACATAATAGTGATTCATCATTACTTTCTGTTCAGTATTGATATGGAAGTCTCAAACCTAAGGATAATGGATGATATCTCGTTTTTTAAGATCAATCCATAGAAGAAATAATTTTAGGTCCTTAAACTTAGAAATGCCACAAAAACCATCAACCCCAGGTACTAGTCCTATAGAAAATTGTAAAACATAAGTAGTTATATTAGATATTTACCAAAAGGTTTCTTTTATTAAACTGGAAACAACTTCAATACATGTTTTTAAAAAAAAATCAATAGACTAGTCTAAATCATAGTGTAGAAACAATGCCTTTAGTATGTGGTATTTAAGAAAATTTAAAATTTGGGGATTACATAATTATACATGTGTATTTACTTTATCATGTACAAGGGATTTTAGTGCATTAGCAGTCAATAACTCAACTTTAGGTAAATATGCATTCCATTATCCGACCACAGGTTATAAGGACTTATGCATTTTGCCTTGCTGTAGACCAGGGTTTCCCAAACTTATTTCATCTACTGTCCACTTTGAAAATAAATTTATTTTTTACCTACTTAAAAGCCACTATATCTTCAAATTAAATTGATTATTTGGAAGCTATATTAGCAGATATTAAACATTCATTCTAAACAGAGTGACCAGTTGACGTGATTTTTGATTTTCAATAAAACAGGACAGATATACATATATAAACTACAATAGAGAGAAATATTGAAGAGAAATTTCTTAATTAATATTTGTTGACGTTTAAAAGTTGTAGACGAGAGCTCTGTCGGTGTCAATGAGTACTAGATGAAATTACAAATCACTCCTTAAGTCTCTAAAATAGCTAATCATCTAAACAGCTAAGCACCGTCAAATATTATAACAACAAATAACCTAGTGTGTGGAAATCATATTTTTGTCTATTTGCTCAGTCAGCCAAGGTTTATCAACACAATGTTGAATATTTCAGAGATAATAGCGAAACCATTTGGCATATCATCAGTGCAAACCAAACAAAAAAATAATATTATTCTAATTTTGTTAACTAAGCTATAAGATAGATAGATAAATTCCTTTTTTGCATCATGCACAACTATAACATGTTTTGTAAAATATAATGTTTCCAATGCTCCTTCTATGTCTCTTTTAAAACAGGAAGCATTTTCAATAATCCATCACATGGCTCAGTGCAGATCGTTAGACATAAACATTCTTTATATAACATACTCATTGAACCATGATCAGATCAGTCTTTTTATTATTTTTGCTAGTGGTAGTAAAAAAACTAGAAATATTACCTTTTTTCTGAGTTCAGGTTTACCCTTCTTAACAGTAGCCACAATCATATCACCAGAACCAGCAGCAGGTAGTCTGTTGAGGCGGCCCTTGATACCTTGCACGGCGATAACATACAGATTCTTTGCTCCTATAAAAATTAAGTATATGAAAATATTCATACAAAGCAATCCAAAATATAAAGTATTAAGCTTTTAAATTTAATAACATATAGAGTATCTATGCTATTCTATAGTATAGGTCAGAATGTAATTAAGAAATAACATGGTTATTTCACTGACAATAAAAAAAAAACTTTTGCTGTTTAGAACACATAAATGTAAAATAAGAAGACTTCAGACACAGCCAAGGTAGAAATCATCATGATTCAAAACACGTTTCTTGTGTTCTAGAGTGTGGTATCATCATCAGTCTTCCAATGAATGTGCTTTGAGGTTATATTCTCCAAACAAAGTCAAATATACCTGTGTTATCAGCGCAATTGATGACAGCTCCTACTGGGAGACCCAGGGAGATGCGGAACTTCGCTCCCGCGGAACCACCACGTCCTTGAATCAGAAAAAAATACACTATGTACATCTACATCGTAATACAAATTAGCAAAGCTTCTGACGATAATGTTGAAATATACATGATTTTGGCACAAACTGCACATAAACTGTTTCTTCACATTTTTGTAAACGAAAATATACACGTTTAACATAGATTAAAATGGATATTTTATCATTTCACGCACCTCTCTTAGACATTTTGTTGTGTCAATTTTTTGAAAGGAAACTAAAGAGACATGAAGTTGGCTCCAAACTACAACGTTCAAAAATCTGCACTAAAGTGAAGTTGGCTACAAAACTTTTTTCATATAATAAAATTAAATATTTAAATAACTTGAAGTATTTTTTACGATTTAGTTGACGATTGAAATTCTTTTGATTCATGTAATTACGTGAAGTTATTTAAATTTATCTTTGTAATAATTGTTTTTTTTTTTTTCACAGTACTGAGATTATGATACTGAACGTATGACGATGTATCACGTTTCATTCTATGCAGATTACTTCGGATATTGTGGCAAAAATAGTTTTATTTATGAAAAGTAAGTTAATAAACATTTAAGAAAATTTATTTCAAAAATATATTTTTAAGTGTAAATATTCATGTCATCTTACAAATCAGTTGAACAGGCAAAGTAAGTTCAATTTAATTTATGCGTTGGTGGTTGCGTTTTGGAACTTCAAATCAATACTACAATTTTTGTTTGTCATCATTTGTCAGTTTCGTTGCCGCTTGTCATTCTGTGAAATTGTAGAATATTTGAGATTAGAGCAAAGTTAATTTCAGGTTTCACAGTTAAAAAAATATAAAGCGGCCTATTAAAAAGTTTCAAGTCAACAAAATGGCATTCATGGGTGATATGATGAATCCAGCACCTCTCTGGCAAAATGGACCATCGCCTGGAGCTTTTTATAATTTTCCAGGTAACTCTTCAACTTTTGGGCCTGGGAACCGCTCAGCGCAGGACTTCAAGGCACAGTAAGTAATAGTTCGTGTGCATTGAATCATTAAACTCGATTTATTTATTATTTTAGTTAACAGTTTTTAGTCTAAGGGAACCTTTTATAACTTTTTATAGATTCTTAAGTAAATTCATCATTAAGCTATTGAAGTCACAATTTTAATTTATTTCATGACTTTATTTTACAGCTCTGCAACTCCAATTACTACCACCACAACAGTAATTGGATTGAAATTTGACAAAGGAATAGTTATTGCAGCAGACACACTCGGTTCTTATGGTACATTGGCAAGATTCCGTGACTGTCCACGTGTTATGAAAGTAAATGACCTGATTCTCCTAGGATCGGGTGGTGATTATGCTGATTTTCAGTATTTGAAGGACATTATTGAACAGAAAATGTAAGTGTTTATAATTTTAATTAAATTGGTGTTTCATCTTATTTTCAGATTGTTTCTAACATAAGTTGTTGCAATCATATTGGCATAGTCTAATGTTTAGTCATTTTAAAAGCAAATATGATAATATATAATATTTGCCATAGTCACTGTAATAAAAATTCCTGTTACAAAGATGTACCATCCTATATATTTTCACATTTGTGCTCTTGCTTTGTAGGTACTGAATAATGTCATGCTGATGGTCTCATTTTTTGTTAATTTGTCAGATAAGAACGAGTAATATTTATATTGAATATGCAAAGTTTTAAATCTATTGTCAATAACTACTGTTACTTATTACAGTATTGATGAGAAGTGTGTTGGTGATGGCTTGCTACTGAAACCACGCTCGCTTTACTGTTGGCTAACAAGAGTATTATATAATAAGAGGAGCAAGATGGACCCCTTGTGGAACAATTATGTTGTAGCTGGAATTCAGGTACTTTGTCAATTGATTTTGCAACATAACTAAATTTTTATTATCAGAATATAAGATATGTGTATAGTTTGATTTTTTATTGGACTAAACTGACATTTTGTGGTTATGATTCATTCACATTTCATACACTAGTTTTTAATTTACTTAAATTAACATTATAGTTAGTATTACAATGATTAATTTAATTTCATGAATAGAAATCAATGAAGTTTATTATGAAAGTGAAGATTAACATTAGAAACCTAAATAAAACACAGCTATCTATCATATATAGCAACACTAAAATGAGCTGACAGTTTAGATCATCATAATTAAAAATCAGATTGTAGTCATTGCATCTAATTTAAATAAAACAACTGTATATAATTCCATTGTGGAGCCACAGGAAGAAAAGCTTATGACCTAACAAACTGGTTAATGTCACTTGGTTTGTTTTAACCACTTTTCATACAATGCTTAATGCCTTTTAAAGCCCGAAAGAATTTAGGTTAACATTATATTTACACTCATATTATTTGACACAAAAATAACTTTAAACTCTTACTGGTACCAACAATTAAGCTCTTTGTCAATCAGTTTGTTATAATAAATGTAACTATTAATTTGTCATTATTAATTTTATTTTTTTATCTTAGGATGGAGAACCGTTCCTCGGGGCAGTGGACAAGTTGGGTACTGCTTATGAGGATGCAGCCATTGCTACAGGCCTTGGAGCATATATGGCTACCCCTCTACTCAGAGAAGCTGTTGATAAAGGAAATCTGGATGAACAGTCTGCCAAGTATGTTTAACTACCTAGATCAATATAAAGAATGCATATTTACTATATTTAATAAATTTGATCATTTTGGACACCTAGTGTGCTTTTGTGTGTTTTGTACATACAAAAGTTAACATTTTGCGTATTGATCTTAAATAAGTTACATTATAGTTATGAAACTCAGAAACAAAAATATTAGGCCTCTGGCAATTAATATTTTGTTTTTAATACCAAATTTTTTTTTTATATTAGAACATAAAGTTCTAAAATATCTGGAATATAGAAGAAGTGTCTAAAAGGGCATTTCAACCATAACTGGAGTCAATATAAATTTTTCAGATAATTCTGGGTATGTAAAAATTTGTTTCTTTTTCAGGGCTATAGTACGAAAATGTATGGAAGTGTTATTCTACCGCGACGCTCGTGCCTTTCAGCGGTATCAGCTTGGAGTGGTGACGGCTGATGGTGTGGTCATTGATGATGTAGCAGAGATCAAACATGACTGGTCCCTCGCACACATGATTCATATGAAGTGAACTCTATTGTAATAAATAAAAGATTTTTTAATGGTTTCTTTTGTTATTGCACTTTTATTTCAAATAGTTAGGTATTAGTTACTAAACAAAATGTTTGACAATTTATTGGCAATAATTATATTGTCACCTGTATCTGGTATTGTCTAACCCTGCACTACTTATTATCAAATATGCTTCTAAATCCTATAATAACACACTGTACCATTTTTTCCTACGGGCAAGGGGCTTGACGCCTTTTCTATACTAATTAATATAAAGAGAAAAGAGTCGATTGTTTATTCGTATGTTTGTTTGTTTGCATCGAATAGGCTCCGAAGCCAAGGATTGCAAAAATGTTTTTATTCTAATTCGGTTTTTTTTTATATTTTCGTCCGATTTAAATTCGATTAAAACGAATTTTTAGATTTGTGATTTAAGGTATTTTGATCTTTTTTACAATTGCGAATATTAAATACGCACGAGTCACTATCAAGCAATAGTATCGTGTGAGTAAAATAAATTATTTAACTGTAAAAAACTGCTACGCTTAACTGCAAACTACACGAAAATAAAAAGTAGACGTTCTCGGTCAGAAATAATAAAAAAGAAAGTTGATGATTGAGCTTTTCTTTAAAACTAAGTCGTCAAGAATCAGAATATTCATAGTGACTGAAATATAAATTATTCCGTTAAGTAAAGCTTCGTTTATTTTATTTTATTTAGTTTTAACTCTAATCTGAAAATACAAATTTGAGTTATAAAAACCGAATTTTAAGAACAACTATTCGGAATAAATTCTCTCATCTACAGATAGTTACATCATTATGCGGTTGACACCTATCTCAACCGCTAATTTAAGTCGCGAGAAAACGGTTAGTATTACAAAAGCTGATATTATGGGAGAAATAACATTCTTACTTTTTTACTACTTGCTTTTATTATCGAGTAAGATATTTCAAAATTTATTGACAAAAAAATGTGGAACGCTTCACGATTTTGCGTGTCATCCTTGCGCAGGGGCCATGCTAATCTTCTCTGTATCGTTCCAATTTTAGTATATGTACTGCCGAAGCAAGTACGCTGGGATTTCCTATTGTCATGTATATATACTGATTGACAATAAAAACTTCTTAAGTGTGATTTAGGTTACACTCTATTTAAAAAGTGACTTATAATTGCGTTATCAGCGCCATCTTTTGCTAGCTGGTTTAGAACTGACGAAATGTCGTACTTTACGTGCGTAGCATACTTAGTGTGCTTTTAAGGTGGCATAATTTTTTAAATATGATTGTCAATAGATGGCGCTAGAGTTCTAATATATGTTTATTCTGATACGAGGAAAAAAGACGTTTGTGCAATTTCATTAGAAATATAAGAAATAAAAAAAAACATCCGTTTGTTTAATTAAATTTCTCCAATTTAATTTATATCTTAAAACATTTATGGCTAAATTAAAACTAAACAATAATAAATGCTTTCTCAAGTCCAAATGTATGATAATATTTACAAAATATTACTACAAATAAATTAATTCATTTGCTATAAATACTAATTTTATGTTATTTAATGTCTCGCTAAAAGATCCTGCATTATCATATCAGTTGATAAATACTTAAAATTATTATTATGAAATTAAGTGTTCTATAGCTAAATAAAATATTGTTATTTTGTATTAAAATAGGTATTAAACTCTGAAGTTTATTTTTTTACATAAAAATAATCACTTTCTTTTAAATTCGAATGTTTTTTAAGACCAATTTTAAGAATTATGTTACTCGAATATAGATAAATTCTTTCGTTGTTAAATTCGTCATAATATTCACAAAACAAAAATTATAAATAACAAAAAAATTTTTTGGACCAAACAAGCACCAATTTGTAACAGTCTTTTTTATTAAATATTAAAAACATTCTTAGTAAAATTAATAGCTACTATTATTAAATACGTTTTATCTTTGTTTTTTTTTTATAATTTATACATTTCATTCTGATTTGAATTATTGTTTGTCATTATACTTTAAAGCAGAGGTTCCCAAACAAATTTTTCTCGTAGATCATTTTAAAAAAATTACTGGTTTCGGTGGACCCCCTGCTGCTACATTTTTACTGTATTCCCAAAATTTGTCCAAAATGTGAAGATATCTATTTTTATTTCACGCCAACGTAGACCCCCGTTGAATCCCTCGTGGACCCCTGGGGGTCCACCTGGACCACTTAGGGAATCACTGCTTTAAAGTTTAAAGTAATTTGAAAATTTGTAGGTCATAAATAAGTATAATACTTACAAATTTTCAGTCCAGTCCAGTCTTTAAAAGCAATTAAATCGGTACCTTAGAAACTTGTTTAAGTATGATTGGGACGTAAGGAGTTTTTTAAAATCAATTTAAAAACAAGTAAAATTGGTTTCAGTGTTCTCTTCCACAATCTCAATCAATAAATATCTTTACAGATTGTAATGATTTTAAGAGATTAAATTTATCACGCCAATGGCCGCCATGTTTATTATGAATTCAAAAGTTTAGAATTGTAAAATTTGGTTGATCCAGTCTCTGAATTCTGAGATCCGCGTGTAGACCCCGGGCTGGTTTGGTTCCGCGCATCCTATTCCCCAAGATATTACACCACCAAGCACGAACCGGTTGTCTCTATCTCTTTGTACTACCATGGGGCCTCCACTGTCGCCTGTAATAAACGTTAGTCAATTACTACCAAATAATAAACTAGTACAATATATTTTGAAATTGAAATCTGATTTTTCTGCCACCTACGATATTTTATAGATATATAGAATACCTTCGCAACTGTCAGCGCCTCCTTTTTTTCTTCCAGCACATATGAATATGTTGGGTATGTGTTCATTATAACCGGCATCTTGGTACATCGCTTCGCAGAGCGAGTTGTTGATAACTGGCACTCGGACTTCTTGTAATACACTCGGCAGAGGGCCATCTGAGGAATAATGGAACAACTTAGGCGATGTTCTAAATTTAAAAATGTACTATTATCGAAATTAAAAAACAACTGTTAGAAAGAATATGAAACTCTATGAGACTGACTATATCTCTAACATTAGAACTGCTATTCTGTAGGTAAAAATTAATGAAATATAAAAATAAGTTCAAAAACTAAAACCTGACTACAACATAATCACGCTTTAAAAGTTTGAAACTTAAATTTATTTTATATATATTTATTTTGTTTTGTAGACATGTATACTATATATCACAGAACATAGAGAGAGATTAGAAGTATAATGATATTAATTTAGTATGGGAACCGAGTGTCGCCTCTCCGCACACAAATACAGATTAGATGAAATGATCATTTTGTTCACTACATGAAAAATCGCCACGCGATAGGTTCGCGATAACATAAATCAAATCCCAAAAAGATACTAAGCTAAGAAATCACACGATTAAAAACAAACTCTAATTCAACGTGATAATAAATAATTTACTTTAACATGAATGTTGAACTGTCACGTGGCTGTATATGGGGATACCAGAAGGAAAAAAATATTTTAAGATTATGCACATTTAAAAAAGTTGGGGTCATCATTTTATGTGCGAACTATTAATATTAGATTTTGCTGTAACCAAGTGAATACTTAAAAATTAAGACTTTTCCCTACATAATTGATTAAAATATCTTTTAAAAAACGCAGTACAAAAACTAAGAAAACTTAATGATACACTCTATCGTATGTCTGTGGAGTAATATAATTAAGTGAGGGAAAGTGTAAAAAAAAACAAAAATTAAGAAAACAACAGAATTTTTGTATTAATTACATTAAGCCTAATTTGTATTTTTTTCTTACTGGTATCATTCCGATTGTGCATATTAGTGATGTGACATATTAGTTGATAAAATAAGAGTTTTAAATTTTGTTATGAAACAGTTCAATGTAATTCAGTTCGACAATTTTCTACAGTGGTTTGATAGTAATTATTTAAAGCTTTATTCAAATAAAACGAAATACATAAAGTTTGCATTACCTAATGTGAGGCATGTTAATATACTTATAAATGTAAATAGTGAAAAAGTTGAGATGGTGGAATCGACAAAGTTCCTTGGTATTTTGGTATATTGATAATTTGTCAAGTAGACTGAGTTCTGCAGCATTTGCTGTTAAGAAAATTAGACTCTTAACAAATGTTGAAACGGCAAGATTGGTACATTTTAGTTATTTTCATAGTGTAATGAATGACGTATAATCTATTGTTATGGGGTTCTGCGGCTAGCATTCAAGATATTTTTATTCTACAAAAGAGAGCTGTCCACGCTATATATAATTTACGGTCTAGAGAATCTCTCAGAGAAATATTTAAAGAAATAAATATTTTGACTATTGCCTCTCAATACATCAATGAAAATATTATGTACGCAAGAAAACATTACGATTCCTTCACAAAAAAAAGTAGAAATAAAAATAAACTTGCCATTCCAAGTGCTTGTAATAGCCTTCGTGAATAAAGATATTTTCATTTCATTTCATAATAACTAATATGATCATTACACTAATAAATTGATCATAGCCATGTTTGTTTTACTTTATTATTCTAAGTTTTATATCTGTAATAATAGTAGTAGCTACATTATTAATTACAACAACTGGACAATAAGGAATTGCTGGTCAAGTATGAGTTTGAAAGCCGTGACAAAAAAAGTTTGAAGATAGACACAAAAGCGATAAGTACGTACAAACGTCAATCTACATATAAAGTCACATCCGTTTGAGACATGCGTCTATAAACTTATGTGCAAATATGGAGCAACAAAAAAACTGATAAAAGCTGTTCTGTGGGCGGTTCTTTAAAGTGGCTTTCTTAACTCGATTTCTATAATAATAGTTTCCGATTATGAATCAGCATAATAAGGTAAATTAAATTGACGCCTAAAAATTAATTTTGTAAATTAAATTCACGCCACCAACAATATTACGTTAGTTGAAAACATAATTTTTTGTTTGTATAGATATTATGTTGTTTTGAAATTCATTTGATAGGTTTAGGTCTAAAACAGATAGGGCAAAATTAATTATGTAAACAAGGCAATCCGTTGTAAAGTTATTAGGGAAACTGAAATATAAGTAATGCAAAATAAGTGAAATCCAGTTTCACCAGTTTCTAACAAGACCTATTAGGCCAACTCTTAGCTTTTCACGAAGTTTCGTTTAATTTATGTATTGTTCATAAAACGGTGATATACTTCGTAACTTAGATATTTATAGCATATCAGTAATTTTTAATATTTATCTGCGTGTAAATAATTAACCGAATCTTCGTAAAAAAAGTGCCTGGACAGTTCATTATTTCATTTGTTCAGTATCAGTTCATCTATAATTTTCCCTTGTAAACAGTATTTTTTAGTTTTATATAATTATGGCATATATTTATCGATAACGTTGTTATGAAATGATGAAAAAAAAGCTCTAAATAAATATGTTTTAGTTATCGATTACGATCCATATAATTAACAATACGATTCCGAGCAGCAGCAGCCTATCGGTACATTTCAGACAAATGGAGGCACAGCACTATTTTTTGCAAAAGTGCACAAAATGATTTACATTGCTGTTTAGTAATGGGGTCAGAAACATTGATGTTGGTTTGAGCAATCAATGTATATTTTATTTAACATTGTGTCAAATTATTACGTTTTTTATATTTTAGCACTAAAATTGTACTTACCAGTGAAAGGAAATGTTTGCATTAGTTAGATTGAATACTTTGCTTTGCTTTTTGCAAGTGATAATAGCACAAAACGGCATTTTTTATAGAAAAAATCTGTAAAATCACCACTCGACGATTGACGAACGACTGGCAAACATAAAACCGAGGAAAGGGCGTCATATGAGTAAAAGCGCATATGCCAGCGACGCGTGCCCCGCCCACTTACTACTTCTATTCTCTCTCTATGTTCTGTGCTATATATATATATACCTTTGATTATTTTTTTTGTATAAAATACAAAACAAAATTTATTGATTATACGTGTCTCAGTTATTCTATCACTAATTCATTTCTAAACTCACTTCACTTATGCCAATTATTACCAATTCAAGGTGGAGCGGATGCCGCTTTTGTAATTCGGGTTCGGATTTTTACATAATCATTTCATTTTATTTTTTTCTTACATACCGGCCAAAATCATAACCATTATTTTTTTCTTACATACCGGCCAAAATCATAACCATCCTTTTCGCTTCGCCGTAGTCGAATAATAAAATCAGCATTGAACTCACTCAAATAAAACCCATTTCAAATGTTAATAAAGATTTTATACAATTGAACCTCTATGCTGTTAAAACTCTGTGCTTGACTTCGAGTTAGATGTTGTTTATATGATAGAATAGCAAAATTTATATAGTATGATGATTATGGAAATTTCAATAAGTTGAGTAATTCTGTAATATCTTTTCCTGACCGTCGTATAGGCGTCCCCAGCCGGTCACGTAAGCTGTCTTCCCGACGAAGTCATCGTCATTATCTGGCACGCACACAGGTAAAATGTTGGGCTGGAATGTCACGGGTTCGTAGAATCTGCCGATTTAATAACAAATGAATATTAGACAACATAAATGTATTATGTGGTAGTATCATAGCACAGCTACACTGGTCTACAGCACCTTGAGTGCGGACCTCTGCACGCTAATCATATTGATAACAAACAATGACCGACTAATGAAAGCGAGGAACAGAAATTTCTGCACGCAGATATCATCTCTTGGTGTAACTAAGCCATTATAGCTAAGCCTTTAAATGAAATCTTAAACAAGAAAGATACCACAACATATAACCCAAGACAATATCGGAAAACTTTCAATAAATAACAAAATATGCAGATTCCCAATTTTACATAATGTCATTGATTACCTTCCAGAAGGAGTTCGATGGCGCAGTGATAAGCGGGCTCGGTCTGCGATACCGTTTTTAAGCATTGATTGATAATTTACTATCTCAAGCTTTTCCGTGTTTTGGAAGGCACGTTAAGCCGTTGGTTCCGGCTTTATCTGCAGTCGTTTACACCCACCAGTCCGCTTTGGGCCAGTCTCGTGGGTCATGGCCCATTCTCACTTATTACATTATTATATATATTATTCTAATTAAGTGGGTTCTATCCACAGGAAAGGCCTTAGCTCCAGAAGTAGGGACAATAATAGGGTGCTGATGATGATTGTCCGACAACCTCCTCCGCCTAACGTCAATAAATACAAAGGGTGTAGATTAGGAGCTCAGTCATATATTGTAAGGCCGTACATTAAAAAATTAATAAAGTTTTCTGTGTTTTTTATTGCACAAAATTTAATGTACCGTTCTGTGGAACATTTATAATCTAAGCGGTCCCCCGACTGAAATAAAAATTTTGTTTAGCCAAGTCATAATTTAAAGGTAATTTGTTTCTTTTATTTTAATTCGATTTTGGTATTCGTATTTTTCTTTTTTTAAATAATTTTGTGTACACGTTTGTTCTTTATAATTTCATGAAGTTCGGGCTAGATAAAGATTTTCTATAGAAGCCGGACTTCATGAATATACAAATAAAAAGTATCAAAAACCTTCAGTGACAACTTCATATACTAATATTGTAAAAAGTAAAAATATGTTTGTTTGCATTGTATAGGCTCTGAAAGTACTGAGCCGATTTTAAAATTTTCTTTATTTATTTATAAGAAGTTACATCATACGCAAGTGACTATAATTTACGCGGGCGAGTCACCTATAAAAATATGCAGTTAAGCACCTATAAAAATGGTATTCTTTTTATAAAAATAACATCACAACATAGTAGGTATGTTACAAAAACTATTGTAATAAACTCTTAGAAAAATATCAACGTGGGAACATTACTCGGAGGCGTGTATGTGATTCTTTGCATAATTTTGCTATAAAATTCACTTTAGTACTTATGGTATACGTATACCGATGAAAAAACTCGACCTTCTTAAAATCGAAAGTGATTTGTTTCAAAAATATGGTAAAACTAGCTTTTTGCCAGCGGCTTCGCCGCCGTTGTTTACACGATGACTTGACAGTACATTTATCCCTAGGGAACCGAAATTTATGTTAATTAAAGCTTATCCGTAAACAGAATTTCATAATACGTTCAATAGATTTCGTATTAAAGTGTAACAAATACATGTGCAAAGTATGTAGGTACGTTATCACCAACTTACGCATTTATAATGGTAGGATATTAAAACTGCTTCTTTGTTTTACTGTATAAGAGAAAGATAAATAAATAGGTTTTAATACACGTTATGGTTTTAGATACTGATACATCATTTAATAATAGTTATTTAAGATACGAGTGCGGAAAGTAAGGTTTTACGAATAAGGGCCAAATTGAAAACACGAGCGTAACGAGGGTTTCCATTGGCACGAATTCGAAAAACCTTTTACGCACAAGTTTCTTACAATATTTTTCAATGCTTTTTGCGAGGAAATAAAACAAATATATAGGTTAATAAAACTAAATATGTTTTAAAGGTAAAAATTATTTGTTAAATTTAAACGTGATATTTGAACATGTTTTCGTGTCATACATTTTTATTTGAAAATATTTGTTCTAGGCTCCTTAAAATACTTTTGCCTCTAAAGTTTGACATATTTTCATCAATTTTTTTAAATTTCTTTGGTATTCGGCCAAAAAAAATTAAAAAAATACTTTTAAGCACGTGTGTAATAAAGGATTTCAGTACATTTTTATTTAACACGTGTTTAAATACTCACTTTCGGTGTTTACAATGGATTAAAAAAATAGCGCTTTATGAAGCTTTATATTTATACTGTATAAGAAAATTAGGCTAATAGCATACTAGACAAATGTGTTTTTAATAATGATTTTGAATTTTGACCAATTGCTCAGACGAAGGAGATTTTTTAAAATGATAAATACCTCTGTATAAAAATTAAAAAAGTACATTAAATTAATAATGTTTTTTTTAATAAATAAAAATCACACCCCATATTTGTCACCCTTTTGTTTACTGAAAACAAAAGGTCATTAAGAAGTAGGTAGGTATTATCTTATAATAAAACTAATAATATATTAAACTTTTTGGTTGGATTTCGACAGTTAGGAGACTATCAGTTATTATTATAAATGTAAAAGTTTCACGGTTATATACCTAGTGGAGCTGATTGTGATTAGATTCGTCATAGAGATTGAAGCAAGGACATAGGCTCCATTAAAAAAAAAAACACTATCTACGCAAGCAGATATAGTAACCTTAGAAAGAAGTTAAGTTATAAGTTATGTTAGTTATAGAATTACATTGTTTAAAAAAAGTTGCAATTGTCTATGGTGATAATGTTCGATATTTGTTTTTTGCGTCCCGTCCGCGCGGGCATTCGGGCGCGGGTGTGCGGTCACTCACCACTGCACTTGACCTTACACTAGGTGGGTGTAATAACCATTGCTTAACTGTGAATGATTCACTTATCATCACTTATATCTTATATGTATAGCCTAATAGATGAGTGAAGTGAAAATGTAGTAATTTATAAATAATATTATTAAATGAGAATTAACAAAGGCACCACAATACAAACTCGAGACAATATAGATTTTTTCAATTTGACCAGACCAGGAATCGATCATGGAACACACTGGAACAAACTGAAGCTCAGGACTCTTACTTCCTATGAAAATCAAGATTTCACAGTTAAATCTTAGCACATGAAAACCACGTCAATATCACGTCTTACCCTTTACATGACACGGTAAGGAATCTTAAAAATGGTCTTAGCTAATCCAAGACAAAATGTCTGTGGTACTTTATGAAGCTTTAAGTCACGTGTCTGTTCTAAAATTCTACTTATGAATATTTGATTTTGCTTATCACTATCGCTATAAAGCTCCACTGTGTACCACTGACAATTTGTCTTGGAGCAGCTTGAACCATACGGAATAGAATAATGAGATTCCCTACCGTGACATGTTAAGGGTAAGACGTGATATTGACGTGGATTCCGCGTGGTAAGATTTAAGTATGAAATCTCGATTGTCATAGGAAATAATGACCCCGATTGGCATTATTCGTATTTCGCGTAAAAATCGATGGACATCAAAGGCATAAATACATATACATATATACTTCACATCGTTATCGATTAAGTTACTTTCTGGACTAAGTAGTTCGTTTGGATATCAAGGATGTTGAATCGAAAACAATAATTCAAGGCACTTACCTAAGTAATGCTAGATCGTATTCAAAAGTGGCCGGATCGAAGTGTGGGTGACTGGCGATGATTTGGACGCGTCTCTCGGCGAACCCGAACGGTTCATTATCATTGGCTAAGTCGTGTTCTCCCAGGCGAACCAGCAGCTCTGATGGTGGCACACTGCAATAATTAATTATTATTTAAAGTGGAGGCTAAGTACTGCACAGACTTACAATAGGCTTGTGTCCTACAAGTGAAAATATAGGTTTTTGTTATATGTTCGATAAATATGAACCATTTTAACTTATAAATGTTTAACAAAACAAATTTTAAGTCACTGATTTCGAAAATATTTAGCTTTAAATACTTGAAAAAAGTAGAAAAAATCTACTACAAAAATTTGCTAAAATACATAAGGCATTAAATTAGATATAAAAAATGTTACAACTTTCATTATAACAGCTATAAACATAAACGCTCAAACAACAAAGATATTACAAAAATTGTCCAGACGCCCATACATTTTTCGCTACTGTAGCACCGTGTGACGTCATTGAGTGCCTTGAATTTGTAGGGAGCGTTTTCGGCCAACTAGCAGCAGTTCTACAAACACAGCACCGTATCTCCGAAACTATTAATCGCAGACATGCTGTTACTTTGACATTATTCCTCAGATGTTAATGGACTATTTATTTATGAAATAAAAAAAAGGTGTCAACTAGCCTATTATGCAAATGTTTACGTAATGAATAGCATGTGGTCCATTAACTATAGAGTCCCACTTGATAGGCTGTAGGGTCTTTAGCAGATAAGCTAGTCAAAACGCGAGTGACAATAAACACCTCACTCTTGTGGGGACTGGGATCAGAATAAAGGACGGTACCACTCCCAGCCTCCGAATAATCGTGGCCCAGGGTTATGTCCTCCTAACTCTCTGCTATGGCGATATTTCGTTTCATATTACTACTTTGACATCGCTAACATGTTATATCTTCTAGAGTCTAGAGGTCTAGAATCTAGACCATCGGGTGGTCGCATCCAAGTGCAGTGGGAAAATTGGAAAAAATACGCTTTCTCGGACTACCCTAACGAGATGATTATATACTTCTTGGAGATGGGCGTACAAAATTGTTTGAAGAATTTTACTGGAATCATGTACACCTAGTATTCACCGTGAGTTTTTAACTGCCTTGCAACCACGGCTATTAATTAAAGTGTAACAAAAAAGACAATAATACTTCAAGTCAATATAGTGCGCCATCAAGGAAAACGCAACGGAGGTCTTATGATGTCGAAATGACAATTTTTTGCTTTGCAACCTCATTTGTAGAAGGATAATTTGTTAATTTCGTTGACGTCTAAAGGATGTAGTAAAAAATCGTCCATAGATTTATTTCATCCATCTTCTGTGATTTTTTTTATCAGTGGACTGCAATGTTCACTGTTATGTATGTTGAATTTTGATACCTATCAAGTATAGAGGGAAGGATGGCAAGTAGAAGGCCTAACACAGTGTAGTAATTAATTTTTAGACTTGTGTCTTTTATTTTTATTAATCTTGGAAGGTAATCAATCAAATTATTATAAATTAGTTTTTTTGTTAAAAGATTTGAATAGATCGTAGTTATTATAAAGTTATTATTTCATTACATTTCAAGACTAGCAGTCGGGTGCACAAACGACCATTAAAATTCTCATTAGCTTAAAGCGACATTACCGATACAAAAAAATTAATTAGAGCTTAAATGCGCCATAAAGCCTTTAATGGACATTTGTGCAACTGACCGTAATAAAAATAAAAGATTCAAGTCAAAGCATAAGTCAATTATAACTTGAGTCATAAATATTATTAACTCCTTCTATTTTTTCTTCAACCCAAATTTCGAACTCCGTACGTTGGTAATATTAATATTCACATTATCATATCTTTAATCTGACGATTGTTTTGCTTTGGTATCAATCCATACTCTTATATTTATAATAATAAAGAAGCATTCAGAACAATTAGGAATATCCTGAAGAAAAATTGCTAAAAAGAATCGTCTGTCCAAGAGTTGCTCTGTTTGTCTACGAACGATAATTTGGAAAATTTCGAAATGATATTATAATTTTCTTAGAATCATAACCGTGAAGATTATCTGTTCTTCAGAGGCAGTGTCAGGTCTTACCTCGGTAAGGTATAGAAAATTACGTTTCCTTGGATGCAGTCTTATTAGCGTTTCGAAAATAGATGAAATTTCGTGAGAATCATGAGAACACAGAGTAGGGCTTCAGGTACCCGAGATTGTATTAGAAATGTCACCCGGATAGCGATGGGTTAAGGCATTATCTGGGAAGGGTGACTATTTTCAAGTATTATTAATATAGCCTTGTGGATGCAAAATTGATTATGTATTTACTTCTTTTTTCCAAGCCTATAGTTGATAAACTAAATTTTTAACGGTTATAAACATTCGTCCAAAAGTCAACCGTTAATTACTATGCAAACACACATTTCTACGCACTATACCGTTTTTATGTCAATGCTCTTGACGATTTTACAATTATGCAAATAATATAGTTGTTCGCTTATATCTTTTTTTGATCATAGTTTTTCGGTAATTTAATATCGTCTGAGTCAAACTTGTGATTTATTAAAAATATGTTATAATTATGAACCCGTTTTCATTTTAATTATGATTAATAATCACAAAATTATTACGATACAAACTCGTCGGTTAAATATACTTCGTGTAAAAAGTCATCCAGGAGCCTAATTGTCTAATTTTAAAACCTACCGCAATCCCTTTCAATTTTAGTTTTGAAATTAATTCACGAAATTCGCGCTATAACTATATTTTTAAATTGAGTGAACGATATCGTTCATTAGACGTTAATTGGGATTGTCTAAGATAATCGTTAGACGCAAATATTATTTTGAAAGTTTTTGAGAAATGTCAAATGAAAGCGTTCAATGGTAACTGCCATCTTTTGACTTGTTTAGCAAAATTTTGTGTTTAGCTATTAAACATAATATTAATCAAATTTATTTAAAAAAATTACATATGTTTTTAAACTCAATATTACAATTGAGTAGCTTCTGTGCCTGAATTAGGTTTTTATTCTAAACCTGAATCTCAGGCTCCAGTGCTCACTCCCTCATTATATGGTCTTAGTATAAGCTTACAACATTTGAGTGTAATAAATATTTAAATCCATAATTGATCTATTTTAGTTTCAATAATTACATATTATCAATTAAAAAATATAAATCAAATAGTAATAATAAAAATGAAAATATTGATTTTCATTTGAGTTCGTGTGCCTCTCGGTGTGTAAAAAATGGACGTGAGTGAGTGTTTGAGAGAGGGTGTATGAGTAGTGGAATTATCATTTTATCTTTATACTAAAATCCAAAGAAAGTAGAACAAGGGCAATTCACGGCAATAACAGCATTAGCAGATGACAAGAATAAAAGAATAAATTATATTCCAAAGAATATACTTCCACGGCAATAACAGCATTGGCAGATGACAATAATAAATTATATTCCAAAGTCAGTTGCTAAATATTAGTTTTCAGCATTCCATTCCAAATGTTATATCATTCCATAAATCGCTATTGAACATTTGAAAGGGATTGCGATAAATTTTGAAAATAAACAAACAATTAACCCATCGGAATCTTCAATTTTTGGAACCGGGGCAGATAATTGAGATAGATCGTTAAACTCGCACATAAACGATAGCATTATTTCCGTGTATTGAATTTCGTTATATGTCTCTTCTATAGAAGAGTCTGATGATGTTTTTCGTCTAATGACGTCACATACTTCGATTGATATGCGCTGTCTCGTTTTTATCTCTTGTATCTCCGCTTACGTTCCTATACAAATACGCATCGAGAGTAAAGATGTGCTCGCTTTCATACATTAATATTCACATTATTAAAAAAAATAAGTATATGTAGTTATAAAAAATAATATATTTTTAATATAGTTAAGATGACATATCGCACCCCCGGTGCGACACTGTCACTTTTGCAAAAAATACAAAAATTTGTTAAATATGTAATAATTGTCCTAAAGCCCCCTTTACTTGGTGCGATAATGTTACTTTTGTAGATGAATCATACGGAACTATGTTCAGTATGATTCATCTCATCTGTATCTTCTAAAGTCATTGTTTTGTGAGGTTACAGAGTTTAAAACTCTTCTCCTGAAAAACTAAATTTTTGCAAAAGTGACAGTGTCGCACCGGGAGTGCGATATATTAGTCGTAAAATTGACCCAAAAAACCTATTTAGAGTCATCTTTACTTTTTTTTCTATCAAGCCAATTATTGATACTTATGTTTTTGTTCTTAGAAAGCAATTTCTATTTGGCAAATATTAGCAAAGCCTTAGAATAAAATTGGTACAAAAAAGTGGTAATTTCCTACAATCTCGCCTAAAGTTTATTCATCATACTTAAAAATAAGGAAAAACGTACACTAACTGCTTATTTCTATAATCAAATATGTGACAAACGTGATTTTTTTGAAGATTATGTAGCGGGTTCTATAAATACTTACTTTGAACCACAGGAGAAGATCAAGTAATTATTAAGACATGTCACGTGTAACGTACTCTTTCAAGTTGCAGGTGTGTACAAACTAGACAGCGAACTGCTTTAATGTAGGTGACAAAAAACACATGTTTCAATGCGTTTCTGTTCTACAATACATTTGTATTACCGTATATATATCAACGACTATTTATTTTCTATGGTCTTAGCATGCCTGCTATATTTTTAATTTCTATGGTCTTAGCATGCCTGCTGAGACATAAACAGTAATGTTTTCGGGTTTCAAGTCCATTAAAAACTGCACTTGAATTCGAACCCAATATCGTGTTTTGCAATGGAGGTCATTAACCGCTCCATCACGCGGTCAATGTTGTTTTCGAATAGACATTTTAATAAATAAAATTTTTTAATTCTGTTTACAGCTATTCATTCACATCTATTAGCGAAGAAGTTCCTAAAAACAAATAAAAGAGTGCCGTTTCTTTAAATTTTTGTTATAGAAAGATTGGTGGTTTAAAAATTACGTAGATAAAATCTTTTATAAGTTCCAAGTCTAATATAAAGAATGCTTTTTAACTGAAAGAGGAATTTGGCAATTTTTATTACATAGGGAATCCCTATTTTTGCAGTTCCACTCAGTGACGTAACTATACCGTTTGAGGCCCGTGGCAAATTCATCGGATTTTTTTTTTTTTACTAATTGTGTTATAATAAATGTCAGGAGTATTGAGTCTCCTCTAACCGGGGGCCCCTTCCAGCACGAGGCATTTTTCCGACTTGCCAACCTGTAGTTATGCCACTGGCTCCTATTCACTATTCATTTATATTGCCTAAAAAAATTCCGTACTTTAGAAAGGACCAAAAATGAATGGATGCGTTTTTCAAACCATGCATACCTGATACGTTTTAACAAAATCTAATTTCGAATTAGTTTAACATTTACTCACTGTTCGACGCAATGTGCTGCAGTAATGGCCCAGTTCTCGTTCAGCAGGGCCGCCCCACACTTGTGCAGGTAGGTTGAGGTGCGGTACTGCCTCAGCGATATCTGCCAAGGCCATTGTCCGAAGGCTGACTTCTGGCCTCCAACTATACGAGCCTGAGGCCAAAGACGACGACCGCATACTGCCAGTAGCAATAATGTAGAGTTTAGAATCATTTTCAAAAAGTGTTCCTTTGCAATTTCTTTTTTTTATAAATTGTATTTGCCTCGATTCTTTTATTCATTTAATTTTTGCAGTTCCACTATTCATTTATATTTAATTCTACTTCTAACAAGTTTCCGAAGCTTTTAATTTTTTAATATTGTTCAATCACTTATACTACACAGACATTTCATCTGTCAGTTACTAATTATTATCTTAAAACTAGTTAATCAACTGGCGCCTTTAAACCGTAGGTATTTAAAATTTTTAGGCAAAAAAACTTTAAGCTGTATTTTTCACGATGTGGAGCTTTTTGCATTGTGAAACTTTTTGGTTGATAATTACAAACTATTTTATGCACTAAATATGCTACACTCGTTATGTGTTTTTTCCCAATGATAATTTTAGAGCACTACAGAACGTCTTCTGTTTTTTATTTTGCGAACGAGTTTTTAATGTAATTATTTCTTTTTTCGAAAATAAATATAAACCGCGTGCAACGTCCTTGCGGTTGCCTTGGCCGTGACGTTCGCGTCGTCTGAACGCCGACTACTCTTTGTTTGAATTCCGAACAGCAGCGGTGCGCTTTTTTATTATTTTAGTTTGAAGATACATTTTTGTTATGGGGTTCTTTGACCTATCTGCGTCAGTTTGCAAGCATGTTATTAGCTAATTTTTTCGAGTAATTATCACTTAGTCACTTTGGGTCGAATTGCATTAATGTGGTTCAACGATAGGAAAAAAATTGTGACTGTAAATTTTCTGTTTACAAATAAAAGCTTTTAGTTGCATAGGACAAATATATTGCTTGTTTAATGTCATTTTCAGAATTGCTCCACTTGAGTAATAATTACCTTAAAGCACCTATTTTATTTATTCACTCTTTTCATCGTACAATAAAGATTAAATAAATTAATTTCTAACAAATTACCTTGTTTTATGATTTTGAATTTTGATAATTAATGCATCCTATAAACTTTTAATAAGTTTCTTACCATACCTATCTCAGCAAAATAGAGATTTACCCTTGTAAAAAGTTTATCTTACTCTATCTTATAGGTAATATCGGTTGTAATCGGTAGATACTGGGAGATAGGTATAAAAAAATATAACAAAAATATGTCTGGTGTAAAAATAGAACTTACTTTTTATCTATTGATTAACAATATATTATACCTTTATGCAGATCTTCAGAATTTATTTAGAGTTAATAATAAATAACGACATGAATACTTTTCAACAAAAATATTATAGGACATTATTATAAATTTATAAATATGAGAATTATACCAATTCCATATTGTAATTTACGAAAATTGCGCAACAACATGGAATCATTCGAATATGTTATTTAATATCTTTATACTAAAAAAAAAAGTCTAAAGGCATTTTTTTGTTATTGAAATATTACAGTGCTTTATATTATAAGAGAACAATAAGAAAATAACAATGGCGTAGCCATAATTAAAAGCTAGTTATACGCATAATCTGTGAAGGGTAACTTAATTGTTGTCTTCCACGTTAAGGCTTTCGTCCAATGCTAGATTTGAGCGATTATTTTGAAACTGAGTTTTTAGTTCGAATGCTAATTTAAAGTATACTAAACGAAATATTTCTTGATATTCGTAATTTTTTGAATAATTTTATAGTTTTTGTTTTCGATTTACAATTTTTCTATTTCGAATTTGATCAAAAGTTTTACATTTTATAGTAAACAGGGGTGCAGCTACCTAAATCTATTCATGGCTTTAGTTATAGAATACGACATTTTAGCGATATTATGACGATATTTCATTTCATTTTACTCCTTTGACATGTACTTTAATAAAGAATGATGACAATAAAATTCAAAAGGCTGATAATGAAGCAAGATATGAAAATTGAATTTAACGTACATACAAAGAGTTTCAATCTCACCTTCTTTGTAGTTAGACATGTTGAAGTTAGGTGCAGCAGTTGTTACAGGTGCGGCTGAAAATACCATCAATTTAACGTTATTGCGCTTATAAAAGTAAACTAAAAATCATGGCTCTATAGCATAATTCCAATATAATACACGATTAACCGGAAAAAATCCATTTATATTAAATTTAAACCATGGATTTAGTCTGATTGGCTTCGTATTTATATTTTTGGAACAAGTTGTGTTTATAATTAAAAATAAAAAACAGCCTTACATAACTATATCGTATTATGTTATTTTGTCATTGAACCAAAAAGAACAAAAGCAGTTTAGTAATTTATTCAAGATAGCAATCTCATCCTTCATACAATATCCGAGTTTACAATATTATGACACGATATGCCAGCAGACACATTGTGTATGGGTAAAAACAGGACTTATGATTAGAAAAATGGAGTGACATACAAAAATCATTCAAGAATTTTTGCATACCACTATTAGAATCTTACCAGTAGTTGTGATTTCCTGATTCGTAACACTATCAGTGACATTGGTACCACTATCCGTTGCATTTTCCGATGTCGAATCTGTAGTCACCATACTGACTGTAGTCGGCACTGTTGGCTTCACAGTCACATTTACTGTGAACTCCAGCATCGGCTGTTGTGTAGTTGTCGTAGTTGATTGAACTGTTGTTGCCGGTTCTGTTGAACTTGTGGTCGTCAGCTTTTCAGTTGTTTCAGGTTGTATAGTTTCTAGTGTTGTAAAGATCGTTGTCGGCTGTTCAGTTGTTGTTGTTGTTGTTGTTGTCGTCGTCGTCGTAGTCGTCGTCGTCGATGGTATTGTTGTCGACAGTATTGTTGATGACGTAGTTGTTGATGTAGATTCTGTTGTAGGTGGTATCGTTGATATCAAGACCCAGCCATCTGGTGGAGTGATTGGGGACCATTTATCTGAAGAAGTAATGATTACTTTAATTACAATACCTAGATCATATAGGTATTTTTTTATGTCAAAATGATTATTGTATAAATATTAATTAATACATAGCAATTAATTCAAATACTTAAAGGATGTAATTTTTCATAATATTCCTTACTTGTCGAAAATGTTTTACAGTTGGTAAACACCATAAGATATATCTTATAGTATGTCACGATAAATCAATCTCTTACTTAAATGTATTGGCAAAAACAATATACATATATAAAAAATATAAATGGCAACAGGTTTTCCTAAAAAAATCAAAAGCATCCACTTTGGCAATGGTCCAATTGTGTCACATCGATAAGGCATCACAGGGTCTTCAATGTCACGACAAAAATGTCACGACACAACACGGTAGTGGTCTCGTGACATAGATACTAACAGTCGTCTGTGCAAAGTGACGTAAAACTTTCTTTTTTTTTATTCAGGAATCAATCAAATCTTGGTTCAAACAAAGAAGGAGAATCATTTACACTAAATAAAAGTGAATTGTTGAAATGCAAAAAGTTAACTTAATAATAAAATTTTTGCCGTGGAAAGTGATGAAGCCCGAACTAAGCTGTGTCAGTTGTGTACGGCCTCGATACGTGAGTTGATTACGGGCTTTTGGCACCAGCACTTGCGAATTCTTAATTCAAACATCTCAGTACAATGTAGTAGATTATTAGCTTTCTATACATCAAACTGGTCTAAGAAAAATTTTTATGATGAAGTTTATAGATTTTACGAAATTCCACCCCTAATGGGGTAAATTAGGGGATGAAAGTTTGTATGAAACTTCGTTTCTACAATTGCTAGGAGTTTCAAATTTTGCATGCGGATTCTTTTTAGGACATAGGTGCTCTCTAAGACGGGATTTTACGAATTTCGACCCCAAAGGGGGTAAATTAGGGGATGAAATTTTTATGTAATTTTCTTATTACTGGATTTAAAACTAGACCACACGGTCGAAGTCGCGGCCAAAAGCTAGTAAGTAATATATAAAACATTAGCAGTCTTTAAAAGTGTAATCAATTAATTTTTGTTGTTTATTTATTTTTATATCTATTTTCAGATTAAAATATTATTCTGACTGCAACAAATATTTACTTAACGAAGAGCCGCCGCCGTTGACTGGAAACGTTATAAGATTCATACCTACTACAAACAGGAAAATTTATACTCATTAATATTCATAAATATCAAACAATCGTTAATATTTTATTATTTTAACAGTTACTTTTTGACATAACAGTGACGGACTAAGTAATAACAAAATATTCGATGATTTATTTATAACAACTAGGTGTCATTCGTAATGATATATTCTATAAATTATAATAAACACCTAAATTCTCAAAACATTTTTTTAAATATAAATATAAAAAAAAAACACTGTGAATGCAAAATTGTATAATTAATAATTTATCTTTAAAAATTGTTAATCCTAAAAATAATGACGTGTTTTAATGAGTAAAATTTCTGTGCAAAAGTGCGTTTTTATGATTATGTAATTAAGTTTATTTCAAAAGCTGTCTTCTACATGACTTTTATAAGCAGAAAATTTTTCAATCTCTTTGTATAAGTGCTTTTGTTGTGTAAAACTAGTTTTCGCATTATATTTGATAAAACATTGCTCCTCGATGAAATCGTTAACCGAAATGTCCTTTACTGCAGTCAGTTTCTTACGACGATTACAGATGATGGCATATTGCCGAAATGAAGCTTTTAAAACTATTACCAATTAATTACTTGCAACCCATATTGTAAAAATATCAATATGGGTTGAATAATAATAAAGAACAATAAATCAAAACCCTCGGCAACAAAGTGTCTCACATATTTATCATTCATAAAAAATAATCCAATAGTTGTTAGTAGTTTAACAAATGGTGAGTTTTATAAGAATGTAATATTTTTTTATAGAGAAGATTTTATAACTGTACGATAAGACTAATCAATATCTTTATGATGACGTATGTAGTTTTTCCTTTTCTAGTAAGGGATAGATAGATTTAAATATAATTGAGTTTTAGCTTATTTTTTAGCATATGTAGCGTATGCATTATTATTTTTAATTAAATTTTCAAGCTATAATTTTGTAAGGAACAGGTTTTTGTTAATCATTAAAACTAGTAATCCTTAAATTAAGTACGTAATTAGTATACTTGGTGATTTTTTAAAATTATGAATATAATATAGAAATATGCTGTTCAAGATAATATGATTATTGGACGTCTCGTCCCTTAGTCCGCCACTATATCGTAAGTAAACGCTAAGAACACGGTTTTCATTTGAAAGTTTCTAATGTTTTTTATCAGTACGCCTCCGCAAGAGAGGTCGAAGACTTTTTGGTCAACGCACTTATGTAACAAATCTATACTATTTGCTAAGAATCTCCAGGCTACGGATGCCAAAATTTGACCTTGGCTACGTATAACAGACGCAGTTTGAGGCTGGTCAAAAGCTTGATCGAACTCGACCAGGAATTGAAAATCGTTCTAGGGCTGTCCAGAGTCCTAAGACAGGGAGAGGATACGATAACCCTAGAATCTGGTCACATTTTACAGGGTGGCGTGTCAACAAAGTTCTCTGCGACAACGTGTTGGAGATCTCCAGTGTGTCGACTAGGGTAGCGTACCAAGTACTTAAACGAACTGAGAGGTACGCTCTTAAGATTGTATAGGTATATGCGCTAACACCGACACACTTGGACGATGAGGTCGAGGCTTTATACTAAGGCAATAGATACTACCATCAAGATCCACTTCACTGTTATCATGAGAGACTTCAATGCCAAAATCACATATTGGACATGGCTATGGGCATAGGAACCACAGTAGGTAAATGTTTCCTCAACAAGGAGGGGCTGTTCTGTATGTAAAGTTTCTTTAAAAAGAAGCCCCAAAAGGAAGTGGTCTTGGTTAAGTCCTGATGGCAGGACAAAGAACGAAATAGATTTTATCATGACAGACAAGAAACGCATATTTAGGGATGTGCGCTTTGCTGATGACATTGTAATGACATTGTAATGCTGCCTCGAGACATGTGAGTCTCGGCATGAATTTGGACAAAACTAAAATCATGTTCAAAATACAAGTCATCCAGAATCCGTTTTTGTCGATGGTGTATTACTCGAAGTTGTCCAGGAATACATCTACCTTGGGCAAATACTGCAGTTGGGCCTACCCAACGTCGTCCCTAGACAACTCCGAGCGAGAAATCAGCAGGAGAGTGCGTAATATCTTTTCGTCCATACTCCCACAATGTCTGAAGACTCGGGTATTCAATGCGTTCTACCAGTGGGGCCAATACGTGGAACATGACAGTGAAGTTGGCCCACCGACTACATGTCGGTCAGCGAGCTATGGAAAGGTATATAAAATTATATAAAACGCAAAATATGTTTTGTACTGTTATTTAAAAAAAACTAATTTGTACCAGCATCGCCATCTTTTGGCAATAAAATCGAATGAAACCGTGTCTTTCCACTGACCCCTAAGTCCCATTTTTCAGCATACCAAATCACGAAACTAATTACTCATTCAGATTAATTACCACGATAAAGTAACACTGACAAATTGAATTATAATTAGTGTTTAAATTACCTGTTATAATTACCCGGTTACCTACTCGTTACAATAGCATTCACTAAATAATTGTAAGTCAGAAAATTTAAGTTGTTATACCTAGTGCGATGTTTGTCGTTTTTGTTTGTAGACTATCTAAATAAGAATATGTTTCCATTGCCGCATATGATTGAGAGCGTTGACCCGTGTAGGATAATATTTTTAAGACATGATATTCGTATGCCATCCATCATCATAGAGCTAATAATGGTAGCAATTCTATTGCGCAATATAGACTAAATTTAAATTTTAATCATCAAGTGAGTTATCAATTCTGGCAATAAGTAAGATAACAAAAACAAATTCAGGTTATTATAGTATGTTTATGGCAGTATAGGTAATTATGTAACAATTTTTAAAACAAACTTATCGCAGCAAATTGCAGCCTGCTATATATGGCTTTAAATCGGTATGCTTAAAAATATAAATTATATACTTATTATTATTCACGATTATGCCGTACCGTATCTATTACTATTTGACGCCTTGTAAAAGTAGATTGCAGATATTTGCTATGTCGTTTAAATAGGCGTTAGTTTTTTGTTATGTTTTCTGTAGGACATCGATGAGATCCAATAATACGGTCACATACGACGGCTGGTATGGTCGGGTAGATAGATATATTGTGACACATTATTTTAAAAATTCCTAGTTAAAATAATTGCTATGCATTATTGCAGGTTCCTATTTAGTTTCTAAATATAATAATGTGAAGTACAGTGGCAAATAAATATGTACACACAGCAGTATCTCGGATTAAAATAAAAGATATGAAAGAAATTTTTGCAGTAAATATTGGTGAACCCTTTTGTTAGTTGTAACTAGCAGTGCTGTCAACTGCACATAATTTCGTTTCCTTAAATTATTATTGAAGTGTAAGAATTAAAATTTACCTTCTGATATTGTTGTAACATTTTCTGGAGCTTTGGTACCCGTATCTACAGTAGACCATGTCACTAACGGAGGGAATTCTGTAGATGGTTCTGTAACAGATGATGTTGGAATTACAGCTTCAGTTGCTGGTTTTAAAGTCTCTTTGTTCTCATCTGGAATCGTGGTTTCTTTTTCAGGCTGCGTAGATTCTTTTTCAGGTTGTGTAGCTTCTTTTTCGGGCTGCATAGTTGATTTTTCAGGTTGTGTGGGTTGTTTTTCAGTCTGTGTAGGTACTGTTTCAGAAGAAGTCTCGACAGAAGGCTGTTCTAAAGATTGTGTTTCTGATGTTGGCATTTCCGGTGAAAATAATTCAATAGGTGACTCTGATGATGATGTTTCAAGTGGAACTTCTGATGATGAAGATGTTTCTGGTGAAGATGGTGCTGGCAATGGGAATTCTGTTGATATTGTTGCTGAAACAGAAGTTTGATGAGCTGCTATTGTTTCTAATGGAGATTCAGAAGCTGGAATCTCTTCTGGTTGTGAAACTGATGATAGTGTATTAGGTAATGATTCTGATGATAACGATTCTAGGGGCAATTCTGATGTCGTTGCTATAGGTTCAGTATATTTTTCAGTTACAATTTCGGTAGGAGAAGCGATTAAAGTTTCAGTTACAGTTTCCGCTGTTTGTATGACTTTTTCAGTACTTATTGAAAGTGCAGCTTCTGTAGACATAGAAGATGAAGTTGGGGCAGTAGTAGTTGTCGTTGTTGTAGTTGTGATTTTCTCTTCAGTTGCTAATGTCGTATTTATATAAGTGATAGAAGGCACAGAGGGTCTAGTGAATAAAGGTCTAGTGCTTGTTGATTGAGGGATAATAGTTATATTTAATCTAGGAGGAGATGGCAACGGTTTTTTGGTTGTGTTTCGTTTTGGAGGTAATCTGTATGGAGGTTTTCGCGTGATATTAAATATCAAAGGAGGTTTCGTAGGTCTCGGTTTGATTGTAGTGGGTAGGTATTGTGGTCTTGTAAAGTTCGTAGGTCTATAGGTGGGTCTAGGTTTGTATGTAGGTTTCGTGGGTTTTCTAGTCCCGATTGGTTTCATTGGTTTCGATGTAGTTGTTGTAGTTTGTTGGGTTGCTATTGCATTTTCGGTTATTTTAGATCCATCGTTACTTAAATCACCAGAAACTGCTTGAAATGTGGACAACTTAACTGGAATTTCTGTTACCACTGGAGCTTTAGTTTGCGTTTTTGTAGTAGTTTCAACTACTGTGGTAAATTTACTGTCATACGTTTTGGTGTCATCGGTTTTCGTTTCCATTTCAGTAGGCTCCGTTCTATGTTGGACAGAATCAGATCTATCTGTTGTAGTTTCTGTTGCTCTTTCGGTGGTAGTTTTTCTCGTTGGGAATATATCTGGTATTTTACTAACTGTACTGTGTATTTTGTCTTCTGTCTGAGGATGGACAAAGTTCGCACTGTCTATTGAGTTATCTTCGATATTATTACCTATTATTTGGGGCAGTACAGTTTTGTCGGGTATTTGACAACATGAACCGAAATAGAATCTGTCTATGCACGTTCCTAGATGGGAACCGTTGGCTTTCAGGCAATCTATGGCAAACATACACAGGCCTTCTTGACCTGTCCTCCTTGATATGCATGGCAGATGCCTTATATTTCTTGCTAGAGGTACTGGACCTGAAAATAAAAGAAGTTTTTAATTTCACGTGTTTTAAAGTTTAACAGGACAGGACACAACAGGACACTTATATTATATAACAATTTCGGTAATTAATTTGTTATAAGGTGGAGTATGTATAAGTATTATTTATACATACTTCACCGTAGTTCTTGCATAAAGTTCAATTTCTCAATTCCCTATTCAATTTTCGTTTCCGTTTTACTCTTTCTGACGAACTAAACACGAAAAACGACTTCATTATTCAAGAAACTGCTATTGAAGCCGGTCGGAGGTTTTCTGTAGATTATTAAACGATAACCGCCTGATTTCAATAGCAGTTTTTTGATTAATGAAGTCGCCTTTAAGATAAGTATTAATTCTCCTGTTTTTGTCACTTTTTTTAAACAAATAAGTAACCATACCTACTTGTATAAAATATATACATATCCGTTAAACAGGAATTCCTCCTTTCAGATTTTGAATGAATGCAAAATACGCTATCTTTCGCTCATATATGTCGTCTAAATATTTTGGTGAAAAGCATATTTTGTTTTATAGTAGAAACAAAACTACCGATTAGAATTTGGCGAATACATTTATAATTGGCGGAGTAATCGCGTAAAACACACAAAAAAGAAGAAGAACTGTCGAATTGAGAACCTCCTCCTTTTTTAAGTCGCTTAAAATATAAAATTTAAATATATTTATTTTAAATGCATGAACGGTACAACATATAATTCATAGTATCAGTATTTCTAAAGTAGTTTGGTAGGTATGTCAATAAAAACCTCAACATACTTTTAAGTGGTCAATCGATTATTTTTATTATGTGAGCTAAAGGAAACCAACGAATTAGTCTGTCATGCAGTTAATGAGAGTAAATGGTTGGCTGACTAATAACAATCATAAGTCACAGAATACCTCGTGTGTCAATAAGTTTTGAGACGTAATAAAAGTTGCGTAACTCTATTAATAATTCACTTATATTTCTAAAACCTTCAGTAACCATTAAATAGATAATAATTAACTATAAAATATATAGGTACTTTATTATGACTGCCCTTGTTTTTAATACAGGTTCTTAGACGATTTGGCCAGTCAACAATTGCGGCACGAATTTTTTCTAGCGGAATTCGCTTTGCTTCTCGAACAAGGGTTTGCTTCAGTGGCTCCTAGTTTGGGTGGGAATTTCGGCGGGCCCTGAGCTCTAATTCAGTCTATAAAAAATAATCCAGCGGGTTGAGGTCGGGGCTGGAGGAAGGCCCCTCGTCCGCCGCGATGAAGGCCGGCACATTCTCCCTTAAGCAAGCTTGGGTGCTTTTTGCCTTATGTGAAGTATTGCAGAAAAACCCAATTCTTATTATAAAATAACGTATCGGAAGAAACACCACGGGCTCTAAAATGTCACTCTGATAATTCTTGACTTTCACCTTGATACCTTGTTGGCAGAAATGGGGCGGAGTGACACCTTCATACGAAACTCCCCAGCATACCATCACACTAGTTGGATGATGAGCGCGCGAGACATTCCGTGCAGAAGCTGAGATATCCTTTATACATTTAGCGTACACTTTATGTTGTTGGTAGAACTTTTCTTCGACAGTAAAATTTCCTATCGGTGTATAGTATCTTCCTGGCATCGCGTCTCCTCGATCGTTTCAAAAATTAACTTTTCTACAGCTATAGCCCTTTACCTTAAAATCATATTTCAGTATTCTGTTCACTGAAACGCACGAAATATTAGTCTGCAGAGCGAGTTTCTTCTGAGTGTGACATGGATTTCGGCGAAGTCGCTCTCGGATGATTTCATGTTCGCAAGCGTCCTCACAGAGCGTGACCGACGACTCCTTTGGTGATCTTGCGGAGAACTTGACTCTTTGTACCGTATTGTATAATAGACGAAGTTACGGCTTACAGTAAAACTTTTCAGCTCGCGGAAAATCTGCATCGGTTTTTTTCGCCTTAAATAGCAAAATGACAGTTGTACGTAATTGATTCGTTCCCTCCACCACGAGAAAATATAAAAAAACTAATTTTCTGTACAAATAAATTAAAAGTTAACATCCCAAATTCAGAATGGGTATAAAAAAATAAAAGCCGGTAACATTTTATTGTATTTTTTCAGTAAAAAGTTCTTCTCAAAACTTATGAACACACGAGGTATATATGTGTATAACAGAAGAAAATCTACATATTAAGTGTGTTCACGGACATGATGTCTTAATTATTTCAAACCACTGCGAGCGCGAGTGCCATCGGCTTCAGACATGCGTTTCTAACGTTTTGACCAACTTCTCAATTGTTTAAAAAAAGTTATGGCTGAACCAATATTGATGCGGTTTTCAGAAAAGTATTTTTATTGTTATCTATTATATAAAAAATATCAATATTATAAAAAAGCATGAAATAAAAAACCAAAAAAGAAGAAACAATTTCAAACATGAAAAAAAAAGGAAAAGTATAAGTACTTATCTCAAAACAAAATGTTATTGAAGTTGGGCGCCTATCATTTAATTAATAACCTACAGAAATCTTCCATCCGATTTTAATAGCATTTTCTTAAATAAGTCGCTTTTGAGATAAGTATTATTTTTAACTATTTTAAGTTTGAAGCCGGTTCTATTTTTTTTTTTAATTTTTAACGAAATAAAACGACAAAGAAAAAGTTATTTCAACTAATCGGTGGACGGTTATTTAATTTCAACGTTAAATGACTACATATCGTTTTTTGAAGCTACCAGATGTTTCAGGTAGGTAATTACTTGAATTCCCCTATGAGCAGCTTTAAGGAAATTATATGGATATAAATATATTTTACAGCGTTGATGACCTATCATCAATCATTTACAATTACAAGAAACTCGCATAATGAGTTTTTGAAGTGTATTACTAAATTTTGTTATAAATTCACGTCACCAAATTACGAAATTGAAAACATTATTTTTTTATTTGTGTAGACTTTTATGTCGTTTTTTGTGTCATTTCATAGGTTTAGGTCTAAAACGTATTTATTAACGTTAAAATATAATAATCGTGCATTTCGAAAATAGTAACTAAAATATTTTAATTTACAATTAAATATTTTAGTTACTATTAGTTTTATTTCCTTTCTTCCTTCCTTCCTTTTAGCCATTGATATCTTATTACTTTGAGTCCAGCCAAAAACCTAATACATTTTATTTAGTATATCTTGTAATTGCGTACTATCTTCTGCAAATGCTGCTATGTCGTCTGCGAATCCTATTAATTGTATTTTATTTTCATTAATTTTATCACCCCTTTTCCTGGTATGTTTAATGTTTGAAATGAAGACGTTATTTTTAAAATCGGTTCAGTAGTATTTCCAGTATTTATTTTTAACAAACAACGGACCAGATGTCATCTTAAGACAAATCCATCATCAGACTACAGACAGGAATAATATCCAGAATTCAGTCCCTAGGCTTGTTTTTATTTGTAACACAAAATCCATCATTAGTATTGATGTTTGATGATAGGTTTGTCCTGCAAATAAAAACGAACCCAAACTCGATTGGATAGCTTCGTTTAATTGCAGAGGTCTCATGGTTACCTTCCAACGCCTTCATCGGGTCAGCTTCATTGTCATCACATTTATACGTACAGCAGCTCAAAGAAAACTGGTTAAATTTAGCTTCCAAGATTTGACCCACACTAATTCTCATTGTATTGTTTAGGTTTAATTAAAACGGTAAGTTAAATAAAAGCTCGTGAAACCAGTAAACACGATGACTTAATAAAAGTTAAATTAAATAGTGTCAAAAAATCAGCATTATCATTCGTAGGTAACAGTAAATTTATAAGAGAGTTTCTACCCAGTCATAGTTCCTAATACGGTAGGAGTAGTGTTAGTGATACAGTGATATATCATTTAGTACTTAGTCATGGTCTTTATTGCTTTTTACATGTGCATTTGTAGTGTTCAGTCATGCACTCGTCATGGTTAACGTTACCTTTTTTTTACCAGACTTCAAAAACAAACACATGTAGATTAACAATTTGACTGAATGTATTCTATTTTACATACATTTCTCTTGATATTTTCGTCAAATATTTACCTACCTACCGATTTTGAGGATATTTTTGGTTCGAAAAGTCTTGGCATGACTTATAAAATCACACGAGGTTAAAACTTGTAGTTTTTGTGAATAATATTATATTGGGAACACAACATGAGAACATAAGGCTTAAAGTGAGACCTATGTTGTATTCTATAATTTAATAATATTTTTTTTTACTTATTTTGTTAAAAATAAAGAATTATATGAACCAAGAGTGCGCGTTGTGTTTAGATAATTAAAAATATTAAACGACAAAATAAACTTGGTAAATAATTAAGAAAACTCGCGCATCGTGTCCTGTATCCGAATATATACAAAGGGAACGATGGGTCCGTATTTTTTTTTTCAAATATAATGCAAATACTTGTGGGCACACTTTGCCCACGCATGATACTAAATATTGTTATGTGACGTTGCGGTATCGGCTTGTATATATCCGTCGTATAACGGTGTCAATTAAAACTGACGGAGAACTTAGAAATCTCGTTTTTGACTATTGTTGGTTACTCCTCGTAGGGCTGACACTATTTTATTAATAATTTATTTCATTCATTTATTTTCTACATTGATACAAATTGACAAAATAACATTGGAATAAACAATTTTATAACATCCTACTTTTATAGCAGCTACTGTTACCAAAATATATCGCACACCTAGATCTAAACTAAGACAACTCAAAAAACGAATGTGGAGGTTTGACAATACATTTGTTTACGTGGCAGGAGCACGAGCACTGTTGATTTAACAAAAGAAAGCTAAAGTTATCTAGTGGCTCATCCCCAAACCTTTATTGAATCTGTTATGTTGGATAGATGCGTATGATCACAGAGAATTTGAATATTGTACTAAGTAAAAACTCAATCAAATTTTTGAGTTGTCTCAGTTTAGATCTAGGTGTGCGATATCATTAATATAAATATTATTGTTAACAAAGC